GTTGCAATTCACCGAGTCAGAAATGAGCTCACTCCAAGCTTAGCGCATGCTCAGTCCTTTCCCTTGCCCTTTCCTCCTTGTGCAAAATGGCGCCCAATTCAGCTCTAGGGGGCTGACTGGGCTATGAAATCCACCCTGTTCTTGTACTGCCCATCTGAGATCTGCTGCTCTGTCTCTGCAATCAAATGGACCAGCAGGACGGACAGTTCTTTGTCTGGATTCACCTCCCAAGCTCCCAGTGAAAGTCCCTTACCACCTGGTTGCTGGTGGAGTTCTGGCTGCTGGTGGAGTTCAGATCGCCATTAATTGAATGCCACTGGAGTATCAGTCACTGCAGCACCACACTGCTGTGCTTGCTGCTTTCCTGTGTCTATCAGTCTCCAGGTACCCCTCTGCTGTTGTTCTGTCCTTTCCTCTTTCCTGAAATATGTCCTCTCTGCTTCATTCTGATTAGATATTTTTCAGTTTGTTTAAATGTGTCCTTACCCTATTCTGCCATCTTGATTCTCTGGGACCAGGCTTTCAACCTATGCCACATCCAAGCCATGCATGGCATCCCAGTGTATTGGCCAGTAGAAAGCTATACCTTGAGGACTGGTTTAACCGCATCCTGTTGAAAGGTATGGTATATAAGTAAGAGGTGGAATGACAGAGAGATGATGAAATACAATGTGACCTTTAAGATTAGTGGAGGAAGCTTACTGGTTAAAATAACCTGACTTCCTGGGAAGTCAGAGAAGAACCAGGCAGCTCATGGCTCACAGTGTGATTCAAGGACTTAGGAGGCTGGTAGAAAACACGGCATCACAAGGATCATCTCGACCTGCTGAATTGGAATTTCTGTATGCTCTGAGGTCGATGAAACATCAATCCCGATTTCATAATCAGCTTTCATCTTCACCGTTAATAGAATTGATCATGTCAATCATTTGTTTAACCCCTTCAGTTTTCTCTTCAGTCTTAGGCTATTGATCAAAATCAAAGGCGGAGTTTCCCAGGCCCTGTTTGGTCAGCCTGGTCACTAGCCATCTTTCCTGTTCCTGTCTGCCTTTCAGCACAAGGGCTTTGCTGTGTCTTCCTTCAGAGTTCTAGGCTTGCATAACAAAGTACCACACTCTGTATGGCTTCACACTAGAGCAATTTGTTCTGCTAAGGTTCTGGAGTGTAGGAGTCTAAGCTCAGTGTGGCAGAGGGCCAGCCTCCTGCCGAAGGCTGGAAAGCATGGCTTTTCCTTGCCTCTCTCTGCTTCCAGTGGCTCCAGGGATTCCTTGGCGTAGGGAGCCTCACCCCAGTCTGCTTTGGCTTTACACAGCCACTTTCCCTCTGTGTCTCCGTTGTGTGTCCGTGCCTACCTCTTCCCTCTTCTGATCCCTGGCAACCTCCAGTCATAACATTTTCATCAGCCAATCAATATACAGGAAATAGATATCCCCGGGATCTGGGGGGCTTCTGTCCAGGAACCCCTCCCCACCAAGACTAGAAATCCACAGGTGCTTCAGACCGCCATAGCAGATACAGCAGTATTTGCATTAAGCTCTGAACACTGTGCTAAATTACATTACCAAGTACAACGTCAGTGTTATGCAGAAAATTGTCATACTCTGTTGTTGGGGAATATACAAATGCAGCCTTAGTGGATGGAGCCAGGACCTGCTGTGTGGCAGGAGACACTGTGATGTTTCCCTATCCATCACTCATTCACATAGTTTAACCATATGCTTGGCATGTGGCAAATTGAAGTTTTGCTTTTTGAAGTGTAATTAATTTTTTTTTTCTCAAATACTTCCAAATTGTGTGGTTGAATCCCCAGATGCAGAAGCGGGAGATACAAGGGGCTAACTATGTGACCCTGGGTGCATGTCTGTTCTGTTTAAAGGCACTTTGTTTAACACGTGTTATTGGCTGATGAACACTACACTCACAGCCAGTGGCTCCGTCCCCCATGCCCAAGTGCAGTTTGCCTGAAGCCATGTACTTTCTTCATAAAGCACACTGCAGCCTTTCCGTGCCTAGGAACATGAAGCAGCACTTCAGCAGCATCTTGGGGGCCATTTTAAACACAAAGCCACCAACAGAAAACACAAAAAGTGTGGGAAATGTCTCACTAAGTAGACCGTGAAAAGCACACTTGTTTGCAGTACAATAGAAAAAAACACAGCAGTGTGTTGCCTCGTTTGACCTAAGTGGGGAACACATGTGTCAGACAACCTAGTATTTTTTTTTTGCCTCTCTGCATGTGTCTATGATGACTGTGAAAGTACCAGGACTGTGAATTTGGAGGTTACAGATATTTTTATTAAGAAGTCTTAACTCATCAGGGCTCGTGTTGCAGCACACTAGGTTGAACTGACACATGTGACATGGGCAACCTGTATAAGTGCTGGTTTGAGTTCCTGCCACTCCACTTCCAAACTAGCTCCCTGCAGATGGACTTGGGAAAGCAGTGGGGAATAGCCCACGTACTTGAGGCCTCCTCATTCATGTGGGAGACCAGGTAGAATTCCTGACTCCTGGTTTCAGATTGGCCCTGCTCTGTTGGCAGCCATTTGGCAAATGAATCGGTGGATAGGAAATCTTACTATTTCTTCCTTCCTGTCTCTGACTTTTTGTGTATCTCTGCAACTCTAGTTTGCAAATAAACAAGTGTATTTTAAAAAGAATAATAATAAAGATCACAAATTCAGAGTCTGCAAGCAACACAGATCGATTCTTTGGATATGCCTCCAACAGGCTGTAGCTTTGCAGCCATTTTAAAAAAACTGTTTCGGGTGATCGGTTTTCTCCTTAAGTAAGTTATTTGGGTGGGAAGATATGGGAGGAAATGCCAGGCTGTTATGATGATGTACTGGAAGCAGCCTTTCAGCCTCTCATATTTCCATGTTACTAAGTTTAGGGTCAGCAGCAGCCTCAGGGACTTGCAACAGTTCTGCATGTCATTCTGTCCTCCAAAGAGGTGGTGGCCTCATGACTATCTAAGTGCCCCAGCCTCTGCTCTGCCCTCTCCTGCCCTTGCTGTCCCAGATCTGCTGGTTCCCACTCCGTGCCTTGATGCCTCACTCCAAGGGAGGTGGTGGCCACTCCAATGGACAGAACCCTCACAGGGGTCACTTGTGTGCAGCATTTCCCAGCAGTCCTGGATGTCTCTGTGACTTCTTATGTATCATCTTGTGCATTGGACTTTTCTCAGGATGTGATGCTTCTTCACCATGTCCTGTAACACTGGGAATGTCTTATCTTTTCTAATTCTAGGAACTTCAACCCACAATCTTTGAGTGGTTGGATGTACAATGAATAGAACAACCAGGGACACACTAAAGCCCAACCCTAGCTGATAGGTAGAATGGGCCGGGGCCTTGTGTTGAACATTTCTAATGCAGAGGAGGTGTTTGGGCTTCCTAGAATTATGAGAAGACCTGTGAGCAATAAAGCTCCCATTCAGAATGAGCAGGCCGTTTGGCTGGGAGGACCAAGTGCATGTGACTGACTAGTGTGTAGTGGCTGCCCCAAGGCAGTATGTGGTATTTATGTGAGCAGTGAGAGGTTCCAGGAACGTGTTGGGATTTGTACGAGGAGAGACAGCTTCATGCTGTGGTGGTCTGAAGAAGGAGGGAAGGGGCTGGGTCTTGGAGGATGGAGCTGAATGGGCAAGGCCAGGAAGAGATGAGCAGAGGCCCTGGCAATCATAAGGAACAGGAGATGTCCTGTCCACAGCTGTGTGCATGCAAGAGCTGCAAGAGGTAGATAAAGAAAAGGCAGGTGGCCCCTTAGGCAAAGCCTGAGTCCCCCACCCTGGGGATTCAGTCTGGTAGGAACTGGGATGGGCTCAAAGGGAATGGAAATCCATGGCAGACTGGAAGAAAGATCTGCTGAAACACCCATTGTTGCAACCCTAGTCACCTGACTGCAGGGTTCAGAGCTCATGCTCAGAGGAGTTGAGTTCAACCAAGAGGAGACATCTGAGGTTTAGGCAGTCAGCTCTGTTCCTAAGGTCCTACAGAATGGGACTGTGCCTCGGGATCCCAAGTTAATGGTAGATTTAGGCACACATTAGGTAAAGATAAATAGTGGATGGTTTGGGACTTTATAATTCTTTTCTAGATGTGTTTTGGTAGATAAGGAAAAGCCTATCTCACACATGTGGAGGGTGTACAGACTCAGTCACTGGGTAGGCAGGTTGAGGAAAAGATGTTCCAAGCACAAAATAGTTTTCAAAGGCAAGTAGGGTAAAGGTGAAAGAGATGGCTTCAGGTCAGAGAGGAGGCGGAGGGTGATGTTGAGGAAAGGTGCTTAAGGCAGTAGGAGAGTAGGGTAAAAACAAGGGTATAGAAAGGGCAAGATGTTGGCATCTGTGATTTAAAATAACATCACAAAGGAGTGGCTTATAGTTAATAGAGGGGAAACCAAAGTGATTGGCTACTGTACAGCGTTGTGTGCTGGTATTGGGGGTTCAAAGCATTTGTATGGCCCGGAGAGCCAAAAGAAGTGAGTTGAATTCAGGCCTAAAAGGATATGTAGGAATTGGTTATCAGAATTCCTTCCCCACGCTGACCACTCTGCTCTGCTCACCCTTGCTTCTTCAAAAGATAGTACATGAAGGTCCTCTGAATCCTGATAAACTGAAGGTTTCTGCTGCAAGCACTGCCAAGGAGAGTAATGCCTGGCATCAGCAGGACCTCTGAGATGCATCTGGGCCCCTGGTTTCCTGCGATTCTGCCAGTCTAGGGCACCATGTTAACAGGACCCTCTTGGTTGATTGCTGGTGTAGAGAATGACAGGCTTGGTCTATTCTACATGTTCGCCAGGACAGCTCCTTAGGAATGAGTGGGCTGACTAAGCAGGGCAGGTGACTCTGGGGGAAAGCCCTGGAATGCATTCCCTATACCCACCCATCTTGAGGAAGAAGAAAAAAGAAAAACGTTACACAGGCGAGTAGGTCTTTGTTGGGCAGATAGAACAGTCAGTAGCAGAAATGCTAATGCTGTGCTTCTCTTCTGTTAAAGGGTACCATGCCGGTGGAGAGAATGCGCATGCGCCCATGGCTGGAGAAACAGATCAATTCAAACACGATACCGGGGCTAAAGTGGCTTAATAAGGTAAGTGTATCAGTTGTCTGTGTGTGTACATGCATGCAGAAAACAAAGTTTCTGCTAAATGCATGTTCACTAAAAGTAAAAGTTTCTTCTATGTTCATAATTTTGTATTTGTCCATTATAAACATGAAGCAGCCAGAAATGAGAGTCAGAAATCAGTGATGTCAGAAAGACTTTCATTGTCATTCTACTTTGAGTTGTGAGTTTCTGCTCAGATCTGGTGTGTTGGATGATCATGGCAGGGAAGCCCCTGGTTGTCTGTCTTTAACGGCTTATACTCACTCCCTTCTCCAGGTTTCTTTTCTCTGCTCATCCTAGCTCTCTAGGATAAAATGAGCTGGAAACTCCAGACTCTTACTTTGGGACTGGTTGGGAGCGTGGTTTTCTTTACTGTGATGAAACACATGAGGCAGACTAATGTGAGGAAGGGTTTGTCTAGCTCCCAGTTTGGAGGCTGGAAGTCCATCATCAGGTGGACTTCAAGCCCTGATGAGGGCTTGATGGGCAGATGGGATCAAGCAGGAGTGAATGTCAGAGAGAGACAGCATCACTAGGCAGCAAGATGAGAGAGGCAAGAGGCCCCACTCCTGCCCCAGGACTTCCCACATATCCCAGCTCCCAAGGGCTACTGCATCTGCAATATCGCCACTCCAGCAGCCAGGCCTACAACGTGCAAATCCATGCAGGGACACTCAGACCTCCTCCTGATGCATCATTCCACACCATGGGGTGATTTTCCCAGGCATCTCACAATGCAGAATGCATTCACTCTAGCCCTCGCTCCATGGTGAAACAGTCTTGACTTCTGCAGCATGTCTTGCAGTCCATGTCCAAGATCTCCAAGCCTCCAGGAAAACTCTTTCAGCTGTGAGACTTTTTTTTCAAGTTAGAGTGGTGGAACACAGATAGGATCCTCTGTGGTTGAATTCTGCACTCCTGCAGAACCAGCTCACCAAGGTCTGCCAGTGGCACATGCTGCACTCAGGTCTGCTGCAACCATGGCTATATGTACCAGGAAGAGGTGCAGTGCTTTGGAGCAAATTCCATTCTCTTATCCTCTAATCTATCTTTTGCTTTTTTAATATTCAGGGCATGATGAATAATTGAGCTGGTCAGGCTCTGGCTCTGGACCAGGTACAACAGCTAAGTGCTAGATTGCAGAGTGGGACCTGCTGCTAACTAGTGAATAGGACAATGCAGCCTGGTTTTTTTTGTTGTTGTTGTTGGGTTTTTTTTTTCTCTTCACTGATATCACCCTTGGCCCCATTTGATCTGTTCAGATCTCATTCAGGTATTTTTTTTTCTTCAGCCACTTATTTTGAATGTAGTGTTCCCACATTTGAATGTAGCTGAGTCTTCTCTGAAACAAGCAGGGGTATGAAGTAAGTAGAGATAACTTACATAAACATAGGCTTCTTTCTGGTGACCTGTCACATATCTTAAGGTTCTGTGGCAAGCAATGAATATTTTTCTCAACTTGTTGCATGTGTAATGTTATAGAGTTGGATAAGTAATTAGCCTCTTGCAAAGAAAAAAATGAGAAATGGAGTTGCTCCTTTACTCTGTTATTTGGGGTACATATGGAGGTATAAGAAGGGAGAGAGTAATGCAGAGTGGAAGAGGTTTGGGGAAATAAGCAGTAATAATAAAACCTAATGTTTAATAAGTGTTTAATATTACCAGGCATTTTTCCAAGCCTTAACTTGCACAGTCTCCTCTGGCACATACGTTCTATTTTCTGCTTTATAGATGAGGAAACTTAGGCACAGGGAGGTTAAGTAGGATTCTGTTTTGAAGAACAAGACAGCATTATCTTTTTGTGATTGAGAGCATGAGAGCACAGCTTACATTCCTGGGTCCTGAAGAGTAGTGTGCTGTCCTCTGGATTTCTGTCACCAGCATAGGTTGGCTTGGTGCAAGGGAGAATGTACAGGGTGATCATGCCTCCTGCATGGAGAAAGCAACTGAGGTGCTGCAGATGGACAGCTCAATTCTGGGCCCTCCACATTCCAACACCTGCGGCCTGTGAGGGGTTCTCATTTGGAAAAAGGGAGGATCATCCTGGAGTAGCTTGCTTGGCTCTAGGTTCAATGACAAATGACAAAGGTCTTTTTAAAATGCATTTATTTTGTATCATTTCAAAGGTAGAGTAAAATGAGAAGGAGAGACAAAGATCTTCCTCTGGTTCATTCCCCAAATGGCCACCCCAAGCAGAGCTGAGCTGATCCAAAGTTAGGAAGAGCTGGGTTTTTTTGGTTGTTGTTTTTGTTATTTTGTTTTTCTTTTTTCTTTTAAAATTATGACCAGAAAGCAAATGCATCCTTCTTTGCATGGCTGCAAACTCTGTTCTTCTCCTGTGGTCCTTGCCTGCCAAGCCTCACTCACTGCCTCTTTGCCCAAGGCAGAAAGAAAGGAACCCTTTGTGCCATCTCATCAGGCTCCCCTGCCTAGGCTGCTGACCACTGCTGGCACACAGATCCATGCCAGCATGCAGTGCCTGGCCAGACCAGGCATGTGGCCATGCTGGTACATATGGGCAGAGTCACCTGTAGACTCTGGATGGAGTCAAGATCTTTTTTGTCCATCTGTACACTCCTGCAGGGCCTCTCTGTTTCCACTGTTCCACTGAGTTTGGCTTGTTGGCATACATCTGACCAGGGTGTGATGTTGTTCCTGTTGAGCACTTCCACTGAAGAGTTCCTGTTTCTGTTTTGAGCGATCCGGCATCATTCCAGCAGTCTCTTCTCCCACTGAAGACTGAAGCAACTCTTAGAAAGCAGGAACTGCCCTCAGAATATGTACATATTGAGACTCTGAGTTGATATGAGGTAGTGGTTCCTCATCCTTAGGTACTGGGATGTGTGGAAAGATGTGAGTGGTTTCTCCCTTTGTCTCTTCCCTTCCCCCAGAAGCAACAAGAAGAAACAGCAAATTTGGAAGCAATGAGCACACTCAATTTTGCCTAAACTTTAATCCTTCCCACCTGAATCCACCATGTAATCATTATAAAAAATAAAATTTATAATTAAAAAAAGAAATGAAATGGATACCACTGTAAACCACAGTGATTGTTAAAATAAACCAATCTCAAAAATGCAAAAAAAAAAAAAAGCAGGCATTGGCCAGGTGGCTCTGAGATTCATCTGCCCCAGTTGGTGTTCAGTATGTGTGTGTTTAAAGATTTATTTATTTTTACTTGAAAGGCAGATTCATATAGAGAGAGACAAAGAGATCATCCATCCACTGATTCACTCCCCAAATGGCCACAAAGACTGCAGCTGAGCTGATCCAAAACCAGGAGCCAGTGGCTTCTTCTAGGTCTCCCATGTGGGTGCAGGGTCCCAAGGCTTTGCACCATCCTCTGCTGCTTTTCCAGGCCACAAGTAGGGAGCTGGGTGGGAAGTGGGGCAACCAGGACATGAACTGACACCCATATGGGATGTTGCTTTTGGAGGTGGAAGGTTAGTCAGCTGAGCCAACATACCGGCCCCAAATGTTTGTGTTTCTAGTGATGTGTTTCAGGCTAGGAGCTTCATGCCCAGATCCCATGCCTGAGTTCTTGATCGTTGTTGTAATCCAAAAGTGGTCCTTTCTGCCTAGTCAGCTATAGATATTCTGAATACACAGGACAAGGTGGTGTCCTTGAAGAGCCCCTTCCAAGGCTGTGGTTGGTTTCCTTTAGAAATGGGCTTAGGAGCTGGCCACCATCACTGGTCTGTCTGGTGGAGAGTCCCTGCAACCCAAGTGTACTCTTAGTGAGAGACAAATACGTGGTTGTTAGGGGCCTTATGTGCTTCTCCATCTCTGACTTTTAATAAAGTGTGGGGAGGATGGTAAGGGAATGTGTTCTTTGGAGTCCTCCCAAGAACAGGGAAAGCATTTGGCAAAGCAGCATTATAAGTAGTTCATGAAAGGGGCATTGGCTAGGACTGTTTACTTTTTTTATGAGGATTTGCCAACGTAATCGTATGTTTGAGTACTCTGAGGAACAGAATGATTAGGACAGCAAATTCCCGTATTGCAGCATCCAGTTTTATTAATGCTTTTGTTGTATCTTTGCACTTTTGTATTGTTAAAGCAACTGTCTGACAGTATACATCTATGACCTAAGGACTTTAAAATATATGTATCTCCATATAATATCATTATCAGTTGGCCAAAATGAATCACTTTTAAAATATGTTCACTGCCTCACAGATTGACTCTCCAGATGGCTGCTTTGCCTTGGGTTAGGCTAGGCCAAAGCTGGGAACCTGGAACTCCGTCCAGATTTCCCATGTGGGTGGCAGGAGCCCAAGTACTTGAGCTGGTTTCTGCTGCTTTCCCAGCTGCATTTGCAAGCATCTGGGTCAAAAGTGGAATAGTTAGTGCTCAAATTGGTGCTCATTTGAGATGCTGGTGTCAGGAGAGATTGCTTAGCATGCTGTGGCACAGTCCCAGACCCTCCAGAAATATATTTTAGCAGTTGATTTGCTCAAATCAGAACCCAGCAAAGGTTCTGGTGACTCTAGAACGTTTCCCCTTCTTGCCATTGACTGGTTGAAGAGACCAGGTAGTTCTGAGTGTGTCCAGATGTTTGTGGCTGGTTTCCCTGGGCTACTGCTTGAGTGAAGTTGAGGAAGTTGCTGCAGCCACATTCAGGGTTTCTCCCCTGTGTCTCTCTGCGTGATTCCCACTGTGGTCTTCATTTCCTGTGGATCCAGGCACTGTGAATACTCCCCAGGCACAGAGGTCATCACATGGTCCCAGACCTTTCCCTTGTAATTAAAAAATATATTTATTTATTTTTATTAGCCAGATTTAGAGAGAGAAGAGAGACAGTGAGATCTGTCCTCTGGTTCACTCCCCAAGTGGCTGTAACAGCTGGAGTAGAGCTAATCCGGAGCCAGGATCCTCTTCCGAGTCTCCCATGCAGGTGCAGGGTCCCAAGACTTTGGGCCATCCTCACCTGCTTTCCCAGGCCATAAGTAGGAAGTTGGATGTGAAGTGAAGCAGCCAGGATATGAACCAGCACCCATCTGGGCCCTGAAGAGCCATTTTTTAAGAAGATAAGCAAAACAAGCTTTTAACCTGAATAGCAAAGAAAAAGCAAGAGAGAAAAAACAAGTAAAGTTAGAGATGAAAAAGAAAATATCTGCTAACCAACCTGTTTCATGTCTCCATGGAGTTACCTTTTCTGGATGTTGCACACACATGACACCTTTAGGATTCATGCTTTTGTGTGTAACTCCTCTCACCCGTGGAGGGTTTTCAGTGCTCACCCATGTGGGTGTGTGTGCCTGAGTTTCTTCCCTCTTTGTGACCGGGTGATGCATATGTATGTATTCATTGTATGTCTACCCTGTTGCATGACCATGCTGCCTTGTGTTCCCTCACCCGCCGACTCATGGGTGTTTGGGCTGTGTCTGCCTTTGGGCTTTTGTGGGTAGTGCTGCAGGGAACCTTTCTGTATCAGTTTTTGTTTGGATTTCCGCTTACAGTTCTTTCGGTATATAACCAGGGGTGAAATTACTGGATTATCTAGTAATTGTACTTTGGACTTTGTAGCAAAATATGTATTTATTTAATTAAAAGGTAGACTGACAGAGTGAGAGAGCAAGAGTAAGAGAGAGATTAGGATCTTCCACATGCATCAAAGCCAGGAGCCAGGAATTCCGGCTTGGTCTCCTGCATGGGTGGCTGGAACCCAAGGACTTGAGCTGTCGTTTGCTGCTTCCCAGGCATATTAACAGAGAGCTTGAGAGGAAGCATAGCCACTGAGATTTGAACCAGTGCTCTAGTGTGGGACTGCCTGTCACTTTATTTTTCTGAGGAGCCTCCCCAACTCTTTTCCCATTTTACATTCTGCCCAGAGATGTGAAAGAGTCCTAGTTTCTCCACATGCTTATCAACACTTGTGTTTTTTCTTTTCATTATTACTGTTTTATTCTAGTCACTGTAGTGGGTGTGAAACATGACATAGTTGTCCTGATTTGCATTTCCCTAATAATTAGTGATGCTGAGCATCTTTTCATGTGTTTAGTAGTCATTTGGGAATTTTTTTTTGGAAGAAATGTCTGTTCAAGTCTGCTGCTCACTTAGAACAGTCCAAGTGAACTTTGTTGGGTTCAGTTATTGCTTCTGTGGTTTAGTGATTTTTTGCGTAGTTTCTATATTATTAGATTTGAATGTGAGCACACACGTGTATATGCATACTAATGCTTAGCAAGATCAACCTGGTCCATGTTCATTTTATGTCCTGTCAGGCGGATTTCAGTGTGTGTCAGCCCATAACCCCTTTGACCGAGGGAAAAATCCGGTAGTAAATTTTTAGGGTTTGCCTCTCTACACCTGCTGCCTCTGAGTATGCAGTCAGTTCTTGTTCATTTGTATCCATTTTCACATCAACCTCAAAAAGCCACTTTAGATATTTTGCTCTCTGTGGTTTATGTTTTAAAAAAAATAAAGTTTCGTTGAGTTCTTTTCCGATCTCTGCAGGTATGAAAATGGCTTGTCTGAAAGCCTGCCCTCTCTCTGGATGATTACAAAACGGTCAACGAGGAGTTGGTGAAAAAGTTTCTCATTTTCAGTTCTTCTTTATTAACCAGCTTTTTAAAAAATCATGGAATTTCCCTCTTTAACTGTTTTTGGAAGACTCTCCAGTGTTCTGAAAGATTTCCAGATCAGGCTTTGTGACTGGTCCTTCCGAGAAGGGCAGAGGCTCTTATTGGGAGAAATGGGACCCCCTTTGGATTTGGGAGACCCAAGTGAAGACTCCCAGTCCTTACTAAGCCCATGGTATGGGGAACCTGCATTTCTAGCAAAGATCAGAACCGCCTGCAAAGGTTTTGAATTGTGTCATGTGCCTGGGCTTGGCTTTACACAGAGTGTAAGGCATCAGCTCTGTTATGGAATAGGAAATCTAAATTTCCAATGTGGGAGATACAGTGTGGTCTGATGAAAAGTATTGGAGTATGGGATCACATGACCTTGATTTAAAAGTTAGACAGTATTGCAGGTTTATTACATAAACTCATTGGATTATTGCAAAAAAGAAAAAATGAACCCCATGTGGACATGGGTCATGGCACAGTGTGCCAGGGACCTTAGTAGCTGCCGGTTTTGGTGACAGGCAAGCAGCTTGGACATCGATTCTCTCTTCAGTCTCTCTTCGGGTATGACTTTGTTTCCAAAGGATCAGTTCCTGATCTTTTGATTGTTAGTTCCAGTTGACCCACTTTGAGCTGTCCCTAGAGCTGCAGTAGAGAGCAGCGAATCTCATATGTTGTCTTGAGGGCCTTTCCCCAGAAAGCGAGCATCATCTCCCTGTCTGTGCACCTCCCTGGGTGGGACTGCTCCTTGGGGCAGGGGAGTAGACCACAGGGACTCCAGCTTTAGACTCAGTCTCCTGTGTCTGTTGGATACGAGCAGATCCGCTGTCACAGTGGCCTCACATACACTCATAAGTCACCCAGGGAGCTGCCATTAAGATTTACCGCATGATGGAATTACATGATACAGCATTGGAACAATCAGCTGGTGGCCAGTTTTTTGTAGTCTTCTGAAGAGAAAGTGTACCAATGATGGGACACTTGTGGATGCCCCTCAACCTCACCTTTGGCCTTGGAAAGCATTCCCTTCCATTCTGCCAGCCTGGATGAGAACGAATCTCACCCAGAGCTCAGTGTCTGAATGGTGCCCCAAGGAAGATTGGGATTGGTTTGCAATGGATGGCACTATAGGTGCTACATGAACTCAGTGATGCTTAAGTGGGGATTCAAGGCCGGAACCTAGACTCCTCTGCCAACATGGGGCAGAACCTGGGACCACAGTACTTATTTACATCTTTTTTTTTTCTCTCCAGGAAAAGAAGATTTTTCAGATTCCCTGGATGCATGCGGCAAGACATGGGTGGGATGTAGAAAAAGATGCCCCACTCTTCCGAAACTGGGCAATCCACACAGGTACGAAGATGCCCTGCTTCAGCTGTCAAGGCAGGTGGTGCTGCTGCTCAGTTTCCATCTCATGATGCTTGTAAAATGTCCCGGCTTTGGGCATCATGGGCTCCAAACTCTGGGTCTGTTCCTCAGCACTTTAGCGGTAAATACGAACACTCAGAAGGGACATCCCACAAGGCCAAAGTCCTTGAAGTTTTCTCTCTATACCTTGTTCTGACAAGTTCCCCAGCTGTTACCGGAGGAATATAATTTCATTTCTTCTGGAGCCATGACTTGGAGTAAATTGGTCCTCCCCAAGAAGTGAGTTAGACCACTCCTTTATGTATACTGCTCAAATCCTTTATGTGGAATGGCACAAAATTTGCATGTAACCTGCATTAATTCTCCTATATACTTTAAATCCTCCACAGAGTTACCATAATATCTAACATAATGTAATTGCTGTGTAAATAGCTCCTATACCATATTGTTTCAGAAATAATGGCAAGAAAAAAGTGCATGCACATGTTTAGTGCAGACACAATTATTTTTTCTAGGCTATTTCTGATTCTTGATTAATTGACTTCACAGACAAGGACCCTGTGGATACGGAGGCCTGGTGGTATTTATTTATAACAAAAAATTTTTTTAAGTATTTTATTTCTGTTTGAAAAGCAGACTTATAGAGAAAAGGGAAGAGAGAGAAAGAGAAATCTATCCACAATAGCCAGAGGTGAACTGATTCAAAGCTGGGAGTCAGGAACTTTTTTTGGGTATCCAACATGGGTGCAGGATTCCAAGAACTTGGGCCATCTTCTGCTGCTTTTCCAGGCCGCAACCAGAGCAGCCAGGACACAAACCAGTGCTCACATTGGATGCCAATGCATCAGGCGCAAGACTAGCCTGCTATGCCACATTGCCAGCCCCAATAACAAAATGTAGTCAGTAGACAACTATTTACAGAAATGAATTGTTTAGGTCAAATGGGAAAGGTGCTCATGATACATTTGCTTGCTGGCTTTCCCACTTTGTGGGCTTCTGTATTACTTAACATTGAGTCCTTTTTTTTTTTTTTCCTGCTGTGATACCTTTGTCTTGATCTGCTTGGTAGAACCTGGAATTCCACTTTATTCCCATTCTCCCAGATTGGGAATGCTTTATAAAGAAAACCCCTGCATCCAGAAACTTCCTTAGGTCCATGGCCCACCTGGAGGGTTGGTCCTGGTAGATGCAGCTGAGGAATGAAAAGGCCTTTTTCTGCACCACCTGGCCAGCCTTGCTGGGCCGTACTTGTCTTTTATGCCAAATCTGATTCCCCTCCCTGTTTTTCTTAACCCCTGGCTGCTGTATCAGGAAAGCACCAACCAGGAGTAGACAAACCTGATCCAAAAACATGGAAGGCGAATTTCCGATGTGCCATGAACTCCTTACCTGACATTGAAGAAGTCAAGGATAAAAGTATAAAGAAAGGGAACAACGCCTTCCGAGTGTACCGGATGTTGCCCTTGTCTGAGCGGCCTTCCAAGAAAGGTAAACACACCCACCTGCTGAAGAAACCATCACGCAGCATGTTCCATTGTGCCCGGGTGGCACCCATATTCTTGCACCTGGAGTTCCTTCAGGGTGGCAGGCAATCCTCCTGCCTTCATCTCCCTTGAAAAAGTAACTTTTAAGAAACCAAGGCAGAAAAAGATACAGAGGGCATTTGGACCATGTGCATGTTCAAGTAAAAGGCTCACTGAATGGTTCCACAAAGATTTTAGTTTAGGGGAGCTATTGCCCTGTGTATCCTTTGTGAATTAACCCAAAACTACTTTGTTGTTGTTGCTGCAGGAAAGAAACCAAAGACTGAAAAAGAAGACAGAGTTAAGCACATCAAGGTAATCTTGAGTTGTAGAGTCAGAAGGCCAAAGTCCTGACCATATTAACAATTCATACGTATTTTTTCTTTCTTAAAATATAAGTAGCATGATCTTTGCTGAATACTGAACTCTTTCTTCTTTTGCTATTGTATTTTGTATGCGTGTGTGTGCTTTCTGTGTCTCCTCTTTGGCATGCACCTACTTCAAACACAGGTAACCACATCCTAGCTTCATCCAATTTGCTGGGAAATTTATGAATGAAGTCATGAATTCACACTGAGCTTGACAGCTTGAAGCCTCCATCTGGTCACCACAACTGTTGCCAGCTGGCTACTTAGTCCCCACAACCAGCTGGAGACATAAGTCTGATGCTATTAAGTATATTGTCAGGCCATTAAGCATATTTTAATATATGTTATGTGGTGTATGTTTCTATTAAACTCTAAGTCTATACTTACAGATAAGCTTATGGATAAACTCTATACTTATAAATTTCATCACAGGCCGTTAAGCTGAGGATGTAGGAGTCAAGTCAAGCACTCAATTAATGTGGTTCTTGGTAGCTTTTTTCTGTTCTACTGTGAACCACCTTGTGTTCCTCAAGGCTTTCTGTAAAGGGGTATGTGTGTGTGCTTGCATGCGCGTGTGTGTAAGAGAGCATGAGAGAGAAACACACAAGAATTTTTTGGTTGACTGTGCAGTCTGAACTTCCTGTACTTGGAGAATTTTAACTGCTTTGCTGAATGCTGAGGAAAGAGCCAAATACCTCATGCAAAACAGGAGACTGGCTTCAGCTGCTAAGCCCTTGGACCACCTGGCTTCTGTTTGTAGGTGAAGAGATTGAGGTATGAGAGTCTGGCAACATGGTGCCCCAGGTCACAAGGTTATATAGAAGTGAATTTGAATATGACCAGGATTCTGATTTATAATATGGAATAACTGGTAAAGGAAAAAAATATAGCAAATCACCTAGACAGCCCATTGCTTAAAAGCTGGAAAAAATTTTTTTTAAAGCTGGCAAATTTAAATGGTTGGGAAAAATGGGAAATAATTTATGCCAGGTACATTCTCAGACATAAGAAGATAGTCACATTTTAAGGGAAAACTTGGGTAAATTGTTCAAGTTGCATGATAGTCATCTCTACAATGGAAAATAAGTGGTTTTGGCAAAGTATTTCACCCTTCTAGTTTCACTTTCAATATTTTTAGTTTCTGGCTTAGTTTAAATATAGCACAGTCTTAAGACCTAATCTTGTTTTAATTTTTTTTTTTTACAAAATTTATTTATGTATTTGAGAGGCAGAGAGAGGAGGAGGCAGACAGAGCTTCCATCTACTTGTTTCCTCCCCAGATGTCTGCAAGGGCCAAGACTGGGCTCTTGCCAAAGCTAGCAGCCAGGTGCTCAGGCCAGGTCTCCTGCATGTCAGGAACTCAGGTACTGGTGCCATTACCTGCCACCTCCCAGGTCTTAGTGCACAGGAAGCTGGAGTCAGGACCTGGAGCCAGAAGTTGGACCCAGGCCCTCCCTTGGAGAATGTGGCATCTTAACCACTGGGCAAGATACCCACTTCTTGTTTTAATTTTCTGTTTTGGAAATGTTTAACATACATATAAAGGACAAATAGGTAATATTAACCCCACAGAGCATCACCCACATTTCAGCATTAGTCAATCACCTGCTGCCAATGTTGCTTTCATTAGTATTCTCAGTTACTTCCAAACCACCAATATATAAACCCCAGATATTCCATCATGTTTGACTCATAAAAAAATACTAAATACTTCCTTATAGTTCCATTTAACATGGCAAAGACATTCTAAGCATCATTACCATTTCTTCCGTAAGTATTTCACTGTGTATATGTATACATATGACACATATGTAAACGTATACCATGTGCTCTTTAACAGTACCACAGTGTCATTATTGTACCTGAAAAAATCAACACTAATTCAGCATCCTAACTTCTGTATGATTTTGTTTTCTTGAATGAAAGTGTGTATAAAATACACACATGATTTTTGGATGTTTCTGTAAGTTTTTCTTTAATGTATAGGGTTCCCCTATGTAAGTTAAAAAAAAATTTTTTTGAACTGGCATTGTGCCTTGGTATACTGGCATTCCATATTAGTTCTGGTTTAAGTTCTGGCTGTTCTGCTTCTGACCAAGCTCTCCATTAAAGAGTCTGGGAAAGTAGTGGAAGATGGCCCAAGTTCTTGGGCCACAATCACCCAATTGAGAGACCTGGATGGAATTTCTGGCTCTTGGCTTTGGCTTGACCAAACCCTGTTTTTATAGTTTTGAGTTTTTAATGCCTATCTTTTTTTCCCCAAGATTTGTTTATTTAGATGAAGGGCACAGTGACAGACAGAGAGACACAGAGAAAGAGAGATGTAATACCTGTTGAGTCACTCCACAGGCGGTCACAATGATCAACGCTAAACCAAACCCAGGGCCAAGAGCTCCACTGAGTCTCCCACACGGATGTCATAGGCCCCAGTACTTGGGTCATCATCTGCTACTTTTCCAGGCACATGAGCAGGAGGCTGGGATGGAAGCAGAGCAGCTGGGACTTGAACCAGTGCTTTGATACGTGATGCCAGATTCACACACACAATGCTGGCCCCCTGATGCGTGTATCTTGATTAGTATTGTTTACTCAAAAATTGTAACTTCCCTACAAATACATGATGTTGACAAATTGCACATAATTGGGCATGAATCAATCATACTTACCAGTATTTTCATAGCAATTGGCTCAGTGCCTGGCACATAGGAAACGGCACATATTTATTAACTGAATAGATGAATATGCATTTGTTGACTTAAGCAGATGTATAAAAATTATACACATAAAAATAAATGTGCTTTTCAAAAGTTCATGTAAACCATAATTAAAAGATAAACCTATTTTGGTCCCCAAAAAATCTTAGAAAATTAAACATGAGAGATTTTCAAAAAGTTCATAAACATCCATATTATGGAAAAAACTGCTTGACTTTAAAAAAAAAACTTTGGCACCAAAATAATCATCTTAAAATTCTATTTTTCAGTGGACTTTTGAGGTTCCTTGTGTGCAGTGGGATTGGAATGAGAGGTTTGACACAAGGAAGCAAATTTAATTTCAGAAGCGGATTAGTGGTATGAAGTAACAGATGTGTGATCTTCAGCACACTTTGCTCATATAAACACCCATCCCATCCACTGTCTGGCAGATGGCAGTGATTGTAAGATGCACTAGTATTTTATGTATATCTAAGGAAGAAAAACCTGACAGAATGGATGATAAAGCCCATTTCAGAAATATAGAAGCAGGCATCTCAGATTGATAGACAGTGCCCCTATTAAATGAAGGATTTTCTACCGTACCATCAGCCTGGTGGTGCCTTCCTCAAGGCCACTAATATGAACACATTACAGAAGGTTCAGCTCTGGGTGGGGCCTGGCACATGGGAGTGAGGGAGAGGCTCGTGGGTACAGTCACCCAGGCAGCATGTATTATAAAAACCAGATGTAATGAACACATGGTTAATACCTGAAGCTTGTGCCTCGCAAGGCCGTTGTTGCTTGTGCAGAAGGTAAGTGAGTCACCAGACATAAGCACAGCCTGACTTTGGGTGCACATGACTTCCATTATAGTGGCAGAAATGGAGAAGGCCAGGAGACTGCCCAAGTTCTGTGGTTCAGGGTTGCAAAAGCAACGGTGCTGACTTCATGTTTCTAAGCTACCTCCTCAGCTTGTTTGGATTATATAGTTAAAAGACCTTATATAGTTAAAAGACCTTATCCTCGCTGAGTGATTAAGAACATTGTTTTTTTGCATTGTGTGTCAGAATACCTAACCTCTGAGTGAAGTGGGAATATGCAATTGGATAGCCTAGGCTCCTCTACTGGGAAAATCCATCTTGTGCATAGAGAACTTGCTGGCAGACCAAGATTCTTCCTGGTCCCCAATTCAAAATGAAGTGAACTTGTGATTAGGAAGTGGTGTTTAGAACTTGGGAGTCTAGCATCAGTTTTTCTTGAGTCTCTTGAATGGCTTGTCTCCAGGCTGTTTGTCCTGGCTGTGTCTTCCCAGGGCCCACAGCCAGGTAGTAGGTACAGAAACACCACCTCAGTGTTCTGTGATGTTCTTTCTCCAAGTATATCCTGTAGGTACTTGGAGAGCCGTGTTTTACTTAAACTAGATCCCACATATGTGGAGGTAACTGACTTCCTAAAAGAAATAAGAACAAAGAAAAAAACAGTAGTGCACAACACTAGATTGCGCATCTGCAATGCATGTATGTGTTTCAAGAATTGTGGAAAAGATTGTTCTGGGACTTAAGACAAGGTCAAGGACAATCAGGACAAAAGGAAGCAAGACAGAGGGTTGGCAGCTGCCATTTTGAGTCCTTATTAAGTTGCAAATGGAGAATATTTTATCTGATTGCATTCTGTGATGAGCGGGCTGCCTGACTTTGACACTGAAGGAATGAGGCCTGGGGAGACTGAGTCATTTTTCCCAAGGTGGCACTGTTTTAAGGAGATTATTTTGAATTCATGGCAGTCTGACTCCAGAACCAATGTTCTGTGTCCTCCTCTGGGTCCTGCAGCTCTTTTTAAGCAGTGAGACCTGTGCCAGGCCGTGGGGGTAGAGAACCATGACAATGCAATAGGAGCCATCAGAAACAAGGGCCTAGAGATTAAAGCTGCTGGGTCAGCCCTGGATGAGTCAGGAAAGGGCTTAATTGGAGCAGGAGTCTGTGTGAGGAGACAATGAGAAATAAAGACCTGTTGTTAGGATCTGTGTAAAGGAATGCTTCCCGCCTTGGGCACTGTTACAGATGAAATAGCCATGGTATGCATCTACGGAGTGCTTCCAGATCAAAGCAGACCTGTCACAATGGCGAGGAGCAAGCCTGACCTCTACTAGTCAGAACTTAGAGCTGCATGTGGAAGTTACAGAAAAATGATTATTGATTCAGCAGGACATCCTAGTAGAACTGTTGCCCCAGGTAGCAACATGAGCCAGATAAAAACACACCATACTCCTGGAGACTGCTTAACGAAAGGGTGGAGGACTGGCAGGGCAATTAGCAATGTGATCCCTTCATTGACTGGAAGAGGTCTTCCCTTGAGTTAGATGAAAACAGGAGTTGGGGACACACTTGAGGGTCTTTAAAAAATTTTTTTTCTTTTTATTGGAAAGTGAAATATACAGAGAGGAGTATCTTCTGTCCGATGATCCACTCTCCAAGTGGTCGCAACGGCTGGAGCTGAGCTGATCTGAAGCCATATGTATATTTTAAACTTTATTTATTTTTATTGGAAAGTCAGATTTACAGAGAGAAGGAAGATCTTTTGTCCACTGGTTCATTCCTCAAGTGGCTACAACAGTTGGGGCTAAGCCTATCTGAAGCTAGGAGCCAGGAGCTTCTTTCCAGGTCTCCCATGCGAGACTAGGGCAGAGGGACATACTTGAAATACAGGTAAAGTCAGAGCTGCTCTGGGTGACACAGGGTAGTGGGCTTAGCCAGCCTGCTCTGATCCTTCCTCTCCTTACTCATGACTCTCCAAGGCACTGCTTGGAGCACAGTTTGAAAGCAGTAAGACCAAGTAGCCCCCTCAAATGATCTTAAGGGTTAAGGCACAGCTGAAATCCATACAGCTGATTCAGAGAACCACAGTTCAGAAACATAAGGGAGATCTTTTATTGCAGTGACAGGAAGGAATGGAGGGAAGGGGAGACTGCAGTATGAAGTTTAGACAAAGAGGGCAGCCATTGGAGGAGAAAGGTTAGACACATTTTCCCAGAGCTTAGGAAAGGATATGGAGGATGAAATAGTGTTTAAAGCAGGAGTGTATGGAAGAAGAGGTCCTGGGTGCTTAAACCTTAGAGAGGAAGTGGAGAGGAGGGCACTTTCATGTTTGACATGTTGAGTTTATGACAACAGGAGCCATGCATGAATACCAGTAGAGATGGAGATGAAACTACTTGGAACACGGATTGACTCTCTCCATCCCTACCTGTGTTTTGCATTGCTCTTCCTCTAGTCTACCATGAGTAGCAGCCTGACACTACTTCACTCCCACCCTGCACACTTCATGAAGTTCAGTGCTGAAGTCATGAGGGAACTAGTTACCTTGTGACAAAAAGATCCTGGAATGGAACCATGTAGCATAGCTAAAGACCACCTTCAGTTCCTGTGTCTGCTTGGGCTAAAAGTGTGTGATGTTGGAAAATTAATTTATTCTCTGAGTCATTATTTTCTCAAGCATCAAATGATGAAAGTATCACTCACAACTATACTGTAAATCACGTGAAATGCTCGAAGCCTTCAATTGAAGAAATGAAATATCAGAATAATTCAGGTTTTTAAATATATGCAGGTCTGACTGCCTCATTACTTTTATAAAAAGCTTAGACATAGGGTGAGTGAAATCAATATAGCAAGAGAAATCCATAAAAACAAACAGTTCCTTCCATAATTTCCTCAACTGCCCCTGCTTACAGGGGAATGGAGGGAATGGAAGAGGGATAATGAAATGCCGGCATGATCAGGATTGGGGAGGCAGAAAGGGCTGCAGTGAATACACCAACCAGGAAAGAAGGCTCTGCAGGAGAGACAGAGTGGCAGCAAGGACTCCGTAGGAGGTTGCTTCCCTTATGGAGCTCAGAGCATGGAGTGAGGAAAGAGGACTGCGGGAGAGGTCATGGCACCTGGGAAAGTGGAATTTCATTGGTGACCTTTGACCATGGTCAGCACCTGCTTGATAGGAAGTGCATGTGTATCTCTTTCTGGTCGACTGTTTACACCTTTCTCTAGACAGGGTCCTCTTACTGTATCCCCGGTTTACCATTGTCCACAGTGCCTATCCCCAACTTGCCATCCCTCCCCACCCCTCACCGCTGGTAAACCTTGCAGTGTGTGTGTGTGTGTGTGTGTGTGTGTGTGTGTGTGTGTGTGTGTTCATACCAAGCAGTGCAGTGATGAGTATTTGCAAAGTGGAGTCTTGAAGGGGAGGTGCTGGGGAGTTTGTCCACTTTCCCTATGTAACTTTGCTGAGATTTTCTGTGTGAGATTTACTATTTGCAAATTTTATACAAATAAATTGGTTAGAACACCCACCATCATGCCTTAGAGTTGCCCACTACTCACAGTTTTTCACAGCCAAGCCCTTCCTCCCTCACGCCGTCCTCTGCTTGCAGTCCCATGTTCCTTGTACTGCTCTACCCTCTTCCATTTCGGATCCCTCAGGTGCTCTCCTGTGTGGCCGTTTGTCTGACCTGAGTTTTATCATCGTAGTAAATGCAATCTTCGTGAAGACGCTCTCTGTTTAACATGCTTCAAATCAATTCTGCCTTGGCACTGCCTTCTCAGAATCCACCAGAGGCCTCACAGGGACTGTGGACTGTGGATTGGGGGCTGGGGGGATAGGGCGAGGTGGGACAGGGCGGCTAGTGTGCTCATTTTACAGAGGGAGAGATTGAAGCATGGAGACAGCTTACCAATGGCAGAGATTGAGAGAGATGTCTAAGGAAGAAGATTCATGCCTGCTCTCTCATTACTGTGAATGTGTAGCCTCTTGGGTGGCATGCAGTAGTCAGGTACTTGAAGGGCATTTGTGAAAAGTAATGGCTGGGGAGCTAGCTGAATGGACTTCAATGTCAGCTGCAAGTGCAGCCCCTTGTGGTCAGCCATGTGCTGACTACAGGGAGCACTGGTGTTCAGGAACAGTGGCAAACCATCATCCACAGCTCCTTCTGACTCCCTGTTCTTGGGGCGGTCGCTAAGACTGAGGTTTTTCCTTAGACAAGTGTACTACAGGGGGCAGGGCTCCCCTTGGAAGAGAAAGACAGGGAGCCTTTTGGAGCACACCCTCTTCAGAGCACACCCTCTGAGAAGACAGCCTTGGAATCTCTGCAGCATGAGACTTTACCCATAGCCCCGTAGCCAACCAGGCATGCTTGTGTCAGTTCCACAACAGAAAATGCAGGAAGCAGAACAGTTACCTAGCAGTGCAGCCCATTCAGCAACAGGTGTGTGTAACCCAGGCTGATAGAGAAGTGGGAATGTGTGCACTGGAGGAGCATGAGTGACCCCTCAGCATCCAGGAAGCAGGCAGAGGGTAGGATCTAAGTGAAGACACAGGAGGGGAAAGGAAGTGTTCTCAATTCTGTTTTCTTTTCTTCTTCCTAGCAAGAACCAGTTGAGTCATCTTTGGGGCTTAGTAATGGAGTAAGTGATCTTTCTTCTGAGTATGCGGTCCTGACTTCAGCTATAAAACATGAAGTGGATAGTACGGTGAACATCATAGGTAAACTGTTTTGACATCTCCTCTTTTATGCGCACGAGCATCCCTCTGGGGTCTGGAAGTTGAGTCATTGGGAGGAGGAGAGGAGGAGGTCCTGGACCCATCTCAGAGTGCAGAGTCCAGCTGCTGCTGCATTTAAGGGCTGAAAACATTAAGATCTTGGAGGGTCAAACAGTGGCACTGGGATGGCTTGGGAAATGGGGCTGGAGATGACTCCCCAGAAGTCATTCTGTCCCAGTGGGTGGTGCTTGGCCAGTTCTCCCATCTTGCACCATTTGGCCCCATGGACACACGTGTGGTTTGCTGAATTTGAGAACCAAGGACTGACCCCATGAGTCCCCTCAACAACAGCTCCCATGGCTGACTTACCACAAACAGATTAACTGAGGCACAGAGACATGTTGCCCTAGGGCACATTCCCAATTCGGCAGCTGTTAGATGGACACTGTCCATAGAGCAGACTCATCAATATGGGTAAGAAGTGGATTGGTGAGCATGGCCAGCCCCATTGCTATCTTTGCAGAAGGACATAGATAGTAAACAAAGTAGCAGGCAAGTCCTCCTGCAAAGGATGCGCTGCCAGGGGAGATTTAGCCTGGGAAGACACCAGGAGGGAACACAGCTGAAGGGGCGAAGGGGAAGTATGGTCTGGGACACCCAAGACCCCAAAGAGGGAGAGAGCAATCAAGGCGTTTCCTGGGATGGCATGGAGTTTTATTCCAGAGTTACTGAGGGACATGTTCTAAAGGCATTTTGTTCCTATTGGGGAGAAGTATAACATAGACAGCAAAGAATCCAGATGTTTTACATGCACAACAACCCTGGTGGTTTTAGGCAAGTGGGGATTAGCTGTAAATTCTTGTTCACTGCAGTCACTGGGGTAGATGGAGGTGGTCTTGGGCATGAACTTGGGTTAATTCTGGGATCCAGCAATGGGGCTTATTTTGATGCTTGAAACAGCTCCATTTGACAAGCAATGGGGTTTCTGATGTTAATAAGGGAACCAGAGAGATCACACAGAGCCAACCTGGGTTCTAGAAATGGAGTGCTCCAGCCAGAGGTTCAGCTGTCCATGCCCTGGGCCATCCATGTCCATGCACATGTCCCTGTTCATCCTTCCTGGCCTTGGAGTTCTGCAAGTAGCACTGGTTCTGCCAGAGCTGCCGGGAAGGTGGAGGTCTCTGAAGTATGCAGCACAAAGACAGAGTAAGGCAAACCTCCTGGGCAGGCAGTAGCACAAGGCCACAGAGCCAGCAGCCATTGCAAGTGCTGGCAGCTATAGGACACACTGGCCAACAGGCATTGCATCCCTCATTCCCAGTGAGGAGACTGAGGCCCTGGGCATAAGGCCCTTTGCCTAATTGGGGACCCAGTACCCCTTCCTTCCCCATCATCTCCTAGCTGTCTCTGGTGTCCCATTCATGCACTCCACTCTGCTAGCCTGTATTTATCTTACCCTTAAAGCTAGGGATGTCCAACGAGCCCTTTCAAAAATAGAAAAGTGCTTGCCACCACTCCAGGAACCTTCTCTTGGGATTCCTCTGATCTTGAGTGAGGTGCTTGGTTTTTGGAGCTCCCCTTCACTTTAGAGATGAATTCAGCCTAGGATCAAATTGCTGAACAACAGCTCAGGGGATTGACGTTTTTCAATTTCATAGAAAAGTGAGATTATCACAGCTGTGCTGTTCTGTAGCTTTTTAAAATGTTTTCATCTGTCTATTTCTAGTTGATAAATAACAATGTTGTATTTTTATAGGGAACAATGGGATGTTTTGACCTATATATATTCGATTTAAAAAATTGAATCAAGCCTATTTTTTTCTGGCAAAATGTTTTTTTTTCAAAATTCATCCTTTCAATGGTTTAAAAAATATGTAATTCATTGTTAGGAACTGTGGTCCTAACCATGCATTGCAATAGATCATTAAATAATACTTTAAATTTAAAAAATTATTTTTATGTGTTGGGGAGGAGGAAAGATAGAGAGCGAGCGCGCATTAGCTGTTATCCACTTGTTTTCTCCTCTATGCCTGCTGTGTTCCTGGTGGAGCAGAACTGGGCCAGGCAGGGAGGCCAAGACTAGCTGGAAGCCTGAATACATTCCAGGTCTGCCATGTTAGCAGGAATCCAGTTCCTTGAGCCCTCACTGGCTGCCTCCAGGGTTTACAGTAGCAGAAAGCTGCGGTCAGGAGCTTGTGTCGGTCACAGAACCCAGACACTCCGTGGACACTGGGTGTCACAGCTGTTAGGCTCAATGTGGGTACCAGATTACCAACTCTTGTCCTTCCATTGATTAACATCCTCCCCTGTCCCAGCACTCCTCCACTTTACCCCAGCCTCTGGTCACCTCCCTTCTTCTCTATTTCTAGGGGATTGACGTTTTTCAATTTCATAGAAAAGTGAGATCATCATAGTATTTTTTTTTCCGTGTATCCTTTAGTTCACTTATTATCATGTCCTCCAATCCTATTGTGCTTAACAATAACATGCACCGCTCCGCTTCAGGCTGACTGTTCTCTGTGCTGACGGCATGAGAGGTGCCGGCTGGGTGAGTGTGGGTCCTTCCTCTGAGACAAAGACAAAGGACAGGTTTGGTGAGAAAGTTTCTGGATTAAACAATTCTCTTCCTGGTCTGAATAATACACTAATACTGAGCGGCATAGACACATGTATGAATATCTCTAGTTAGTTTGTGACCCTTAACATAAATCCATAATTACATATGAAGTGGATTCATGACATGTTTGAAGAACGGAGATCCTTGTCCAAGTAGCATGACCTCAGACTTGAAGCAGCTTCCCCTGTGGTTGTGGATTGACTATCCTGGTCTTTGTGATTTGTGGACCAAGAGGAGAAACACAAAGATTCTAATTCCATGGCGGCTGCCATGGCAATGGGAGACTTTCTCTGTTGCTCCACATCTTGTAAATATTTCTTCATTTCTTACTGTAGTTCATCTGTTTCTACACTCAGGTTTCATTTTAGTTTTTTTTTTTAAGCTTTATGTACTCATTTGAAAGGAAGAATTACAAAGAGAGAGGGAAACACACACACACACACACACACACACACACACACACACACACACACACACACAGCTTTTCCATCTCCTGGTTCATTCCCCAAATGGTTACAAGAGCTGGAGCTGGGCCTATCTGATGTCAGGAACCAGGAGCTTCTTCTGGGTCTCCCATGTGGGTGCAGGTGCCCAAAGTCATGAGCTGTCCTCCATAGCTTTCCCAGACCATAAGCAGGGAGCTGGATGGAAAGAGGAGCAACTGAGACTTGAACCCATGACCATATAGGATGAGGGCACCACAGGTTGGTGACATGATTCACTACACTACAACACCAGCCCCTTTCATTTCAATTTTGTCTTCAGGCCCCCAAAAACTTCAAGCTGTTTTTCCTGTCATCTGGGGGCTCCTTAGCTAAGAACTAGTTTGCGAATGCTGCTGCCGTGGTGGCTGCCAGCTTTTGCTTTTGTTCCTACCACAGTGCAAAGGGTCACGTGTGCACACGTGCATGCGCACGCACACACACAGAGTTCTGTGTTCTTGCCACCATCTCCAGTGGAGTTGGCCGTTGAAGCCAAATGTAGGACATGGCTGAATTAAGGTTTAGCATACCAAAATCATGTGTGGTGTTTTCCATATTGAACCATGTATCCTTCAGGTCCATCATCCCTATAAGGATCGACATACGGGTTTAGCACCCAAGATCCATTCCTGCTCCCTTTAAGGGAAAACAGGAAGAGAAAAAACAAAACCCTTCTTATTTTTATTTTCGCTTTTATTTGGTGTTGTGGTTTCTGTTGTGTGTGCAGTGACTTCTGTTTTTAGTGAGCGGAAGAAGCCAGTAGCATGATGGATTGTTCTGACAATGCCCTGCTGGTCCAACATCCGGTGCTGTTGCTGAACTGTGCTGCTGCAAGCTCCAGGCAGTGTAAAAAGTCTGCAGGTGTGGACATTTGGTCCAACCCGCCTGGGCAATACTTTATAGTCCCACTGTGCTCCTTGATAAAAAGTAACCCCACCCTGCAATAAGGCAAAGATCACTGCAACACAAGGGAGGCCAATTTATTACCCCGAGCTAGCCTTGGACACCAGACAAACAGCAATTGGAAAGTCAGGTGCTTTGGGTTGTGTGTTATTTTGAACAAACAAAGTGCACTTTCAGAAGCCAGTCCTTTTTTGGCAATGGCTTCCAAATTTAACTGACTTTATCTAAAGCGAAGCTTTAGTAGCTTTTTTAGCCAAGCCTAGAATCCCACTTTCAATGGCATGCAGCAGGAAGACAGAGTTACAACTCATGGGGCAACTTGTGAGTGGCTACCAGGGTTCCTGGCAAGGTTGGCAGCTGCTGACACCTAAGCTCTCGTCATTGGAAGATGGCAAAGAGGATGATGCCGATGCTGCTGGGCCAGAGGACAATGCCATCACCCTTTGCATCAGTCACTATTAAAATTCTGTCCACAGGACACAGTAGGGCAGATCTTTAGATGGTAGACACTCCCTCTTAAGGGGTCTTCCTTACCTGGGTCCAGTGGGCTGTCTACTGTGACCCTTGGCTTCTGAGAGAACTAAGCTTTCCCCCATAGGAGCAGATCAGAGAGCCCCCTAGAAAGTCCTTCATCATACATAAAGTGTGCACCACAATACCACAGTCTACATGGCTCTGATCACAGACTGTAGCTTTCTCTTGCAATGAGTTTAAGCCACCCTGGTCACACAAGTGACACTGCATAGTTCTCCTCCTTGGTCACCAAGGGCCAGCTGGGATCTCTGGGTAGTGGATTGGCCTGTGGGTTATTTCAACCTTTAGAAACTTTTGTTTCTCAAAAAAACCTGTCCAATTTTTAGGAGACTATGTATGTTCTTTCTCCTTAGTCTTTTGTTAGGTATCCATCCCCACTTAAGACTAACAGGGGCTAGTCCTGTGGCATAGCCATGTGGACACCAGTTCAAGTCCCAGCTGCTCCACTACCCATCCAAGACCCCAACTGTGGCCTGGGAAAGCAGTGGAGGATGGCCCAAGGCCTTGGGCCCCTGCACCCATGTAGGAGACCCAGAGGAGGCTCCTGGCTCACAGCTTTGGATCAACCCAGTTCCAACTATTGCAACCCTTTGGGCAGTGAACTGCAGAGGCATGATCGATCAATCTCTCTTTCTCTTCCCCCTTCTCTTTGTAACTCTGCCTTGCAAATAAAAATAAAATGAATGTTTAAAAATTTGTCAAATCCTCTGGTCTGCCCTCCATTCCTTTTTGCTTCTCTCTGGCACATTGGCACTGGCCCTGTATCCTATCTGCCTCTTCTCTTTCATTCTTCATGCAAAGCTTTCCATTTTGTTTAATTTTGTTTTACAATTCCAACATCCCCATGTCACCACTGCTGCCAAGACAAACACACAAGTCCCCCCTTCCCCACTGTGTCCTCGGGATCTAGCCTGACCCAAGTTCCCACCCTACTACCCTCTGCTTTTCTGGTTTTGGTTATGAATTTTTTTTTGAACAGTTGAATTATCTGTAGAGATTGTGGTGTGGCAGCTGAGGCCCAGTAAGAAAAAGGCCTTTGGTAGTCCCACTGGGCAATGAAGGCTGGCCAGCAGGCCTCTCCCAGATCCCTGCTCCTACGTCTCTGGCCCTGGAAACACTGGTGGACTCTCTGTTGGGGTTTACTGGGAACCATCATATGCTCCCCTTTGCAGAGTGGTAGGTGATGCTGTTGTGGCTGGGATAAGGAGCTGCACTGCAGCAACCACAACCCTGCTTCCTCTTCCCACACCTGTGACCTCCCCATCGCTGCAGGCAGGGACAGAACTGCTTGTCTGGCATGGTGAACCTCTGATAATTATGTCTCCCACCATGTCTCCTAAGTCAGTGATGGCTGTCTTTTATCAAGACAAGAGCATCTGATGAGAAGCTGAAAGGCCTGGGATTTTGGCCTAGTTATGAAGTTTTTTGTTTGTTTTATTTTAGTTTACTGTGTGACTCATTTATATATAAACTTTGTATATTTATAAAATTATACATGAAACAGAAATAATAATGCTGATTCAAGTTGTGGGGAAGATCCTGTGAGAGGTCCATGTCCGTCACCCTGTGGTGGGATGGTGTGGTTGAAGGGACTGGTGGTGATGACAACATCATCCAGTCACAGTGAACTATATCCACATACAAACAGCCCTGCTCTGTGCCACGTCTTCCAGCCCAGCATGAACACATCTAACACTCTGACTTTTAGAGGGGGCCAAGGAGAAATTTCTCTCCATGAAATCTTGCTAATGGCCTGATTTTGTGCTCTCCTGGGTGACCTTGGCAACTGACCTCTGGGTTTCAATTTTTCAACCATGGTGTGGTTGAGCCAAGCCACCACCAGCAGCCTTGCTTCGCAGCCCTCTTGCAGGTGGAGCCCTCCATGAGGTGAACAGTCGTTCATCAAGAACAGCCCAGGCAGTTCATCATTAACCAACCACTGACAGTCAGCTTGGAGTTCTCAGCCATTGGTTTCAAAGAAGCCGGCAGTGTTCAAGTCACTCTCCTCAGGATGTGTTGCCCTTGGTCAGGAGGAGGAGCCGGGTAGTTTTCTAGCACCTGCTTCTGACTGTTGGTGAATTTCCTTAGTTCTCACCCTGCCTATAGAGAGCTGCTGGAAAGAAATTTCATGTTTGTTTATAAACACAAAGACTCATTAAGGTGAGATTAGAAAAGTTTTTATTCCCAATGTTGTGGGGGCTAGAAAGCTGGGGGTAGTTCACGTCTAACTCTGCTAGGGATGCTGAATTGCAAAGAGTCAAAATTTGGGGCCATAAAGTTAACCTGGCTTTATTATTATATTATTTTTTAAAGATTTTATTATTCATTTGAAATGCATAGCCACCATGAAGAAGGGAGAGACAAAAAGAAAGATATGCCATCTGAATTCACAAACAACAGCAGCATTTGGGACTGTGTTAGACCAGGCAGGCAGAAGCCTGGAACTTCATGTGGTTCTCCCTTGTGAGTGACAGGGGCCCCAGTGCCTTGTTAGAGAGCTGGCTTGGAAGTGGAGCAGCCAGGACTCAAACCAGTGCTAATATGGGATTTCAGTGTCACAGGCAGTGGTTTAATGCACTCCCATCACAGCATCAGCCCTATAAAGCCACTGAAGGTCTGTCTGGTCTGGAATCTTAATTCTAATTGTATCGTTGTTTTATCACATCTCAGAGGAGGTCATAATTTTGCTTTCCTCTAGGATTTGGGGACACAGGAGTAATAGAGACAAGTAAAGGTGAGTCTTAAAAAGTTCACTGTTCTTTCAGTTGGGACACGCATTAGCACAGACAGCCATGTCTGACGTTCCTTGCTGTAGCCCTTATTGGTTTCATCACAACAGGGAAATTGCAGCTCAGGGAAATCAGTCATAAGAGAGATGGATTCATGTTGGTGTCTTAGTGCCTCAGATGTTGCAGTTCCCCTACTTTTCTCTGTGTTTTGATTTCAGAGCTGGAAAACTTCCTTTTTTTTTTTTTTTTTTCATTTAACTTTCTGTATGCATTGGAGAGCCAGACAGCAAGCACCCATCCACTGGTTCACTCCCCAAATGCCTGGGGCCAGACTAAGCCATAGCCACAAGCCAAGAGCTCAGTCCAGATCTCCCAGGTTCCCACATGCCTGACCAGCAGAAACTGGCATGAGGAGTGGATCTGGGACTTTGACAGGAAATGTGGGCATTATATGGTAGCTTATTCATGGTGCCGGAACCCAGCCCTGGATAGAGTAGTGACATGTGTCTAAAATGTCCTCAGTATGCCATTCCTTACTGAAGGATAAAATAACACTGCTCTTAGAGATGATGTCATCAGGGATAATGCCATCATTAGCTGGGTTTCTAGATCATAGCCCAAAAAACCAAAAACCTGTTTTCCTGCCCTATTCACCAGCACTCAAGTTAGTCCTAAAATTCGAGTTGAAATGCTGAATTACTTTTCTTTGTCTTAAGACTCACATGCCAAATGAAGCACAATCAACTGAAGCTATAAATTAATGTGTACGTTCTTCTCACAAATGACCCTGGTGGAGACACCAACCACCACATTCAAGCCAGAATGTTTTCATTGTCCTCTAGCCGAAACCAGCAAGACTCACCACTCTGACTTCAGTACTTTACCTAGGTTTAAAAGAGTCTACTTGCCAAAGACAATGAAATTTCTAGTAGGCACTTTTCTCTGCTCACAAATTCAGCAGAGGTTCATTTGAGCTGCAAGCTGGTGCAAGCTGAAAGAATGTGTCATGATGGGGCACAGAAAGTGCTAATACCTGAGGCTGGCAAGTAAAGCCACTGCTTGTGACCTGCACTGCTTTAAGTCCTGACTGTTTGGCTTTTGATCTAGCTCCTGTAGCACAAGAAGGACCAAGTGCCTTGCACCCCTGTGCTCAGATTGAGTTCCAGGCTCCTAACTTCAGCTTGGACCAGCCCAGGCCATTGTAGTTATTGAAAAGTGAACTACTAGATGGAAGATTCTCTCCCCCCAACCCAAGTGCCTTGCAAATAAATGAGGAAAGAAAGCGGGGGAAGACCGCCCAATTGTGTGCTCTTAGTCCTGAGAGGTGGGAATTGACTTGAAGAGGTCTGACCTTGCAAATACATGAGAGAGAGGAAGGAAGGAAGGAAGGAAGGAAGGAAGGAAGGAAGGAAGGAAGGAAGGAAGGAAGGAAGGAAGGAAGGAAGGAAGGAAGGAAGGAAGGAAGGAAGGAAGGAAGGAAGGAAGGAAGGAAGGAAGGAAAGAAAGAAGGAAGGAAGGAAGGAAGGAAGGAAGGAAGGAAGGAAGAAAGAAAAAGAAAGAAAGAAAAAAAAGAAAGAAAGTCCTGTGGTGTGCTCAGCCCTCAGAGATGGGAATTGACTTGAAGAGATCTGATCTCAGCAAGTAAGAAGCTAGTTAAGGACAGAGAGAAGTCACTAGCAACATGAGGCAGAAAGTCAAGAAAAGACCATGGAACCAGTACCATGGCATAGCAGCCTCATTTTTCATCTGCAAACACTGGCACCCTTCTTATCCCAGCTGCTCCACTTCCCATGCAGCTCCCTGCTTGTGACCTAGGAAAACAGTGGATGGCCCAAAGCTTGACTCACTGTGGGTACCCTGAATCAGTGTGGGACACCTGGAAGAAGCTCCTGGCTCCTGGCTGCTAACCAGCTCAGCTCCAGCTGTTGCAGCCATTTGGAGAATGAACCAGAAGATGGAAGATCTTTCTCTCTCAATGACTTAACTCTTCTCCTTTAATCTGCCTGTCCAGTAAAATAAGACTCTAACTAAAGAGGAAGGAAGGAAGGGAGAGAGGGAGGGAGGGAGGAAGGGAGGAAGGAAGGATGGAAGGGAGGGAGGGAGCAAGGAAGGGAGAGAGGGAGGGAGGGAGCAAGGAAGGGAGCAAGGAAGGGAGGAAGGAAATGCAAGGTGAGGTGAGGCTAAGCTGAGGCTGTGTAAGGAAGGAAGTTAGAGGTGTTTAGAGGTATCTGTGCTAAGAAGGCACCCCCAAAACAGGGGCCTTCAGAATGTAGTTGTTCAGCCCCAACCCATCCCCCATGCTGGTACCTCACTGAAACCTTTGAGTCCTTGCACCACATCCTTAACTTCTGTCATGCTTCTGAACTTCTCCCTCTCCCACTTCTAGTCTGACCCACCCCTACTTTAACCTGATTCTTGGCATTATTGTATGCTGATGCAAAGTCACCTAGACTTCTTTTCTCCCCCTGCTCCCATCCCTGTCTGTGCTGCTCTTTGCTCCTGTAGGCCGTGGATCATGTGGCTCATGGCAACCTGTGTAAAACAAGTGCCCTGCACACCTTTGTTCAGTAAGCCTGAATTTGGGCATTGTGAGGGAAGGTCCCACGGAAGAGTCCTGGTGGGAACAAAAAGGCATAAGCAGGAAGATACTTGAGCTGCCTCCATCATCACTCTGCTGACTCACAGTATCCCTCTCAGGAAGGACACAGTGGGTTTGGGGATATTGGAAGATGGAGCTGCTTTGGTTTAAGTCAGGTATATAGTAGGCCTTTGTTGCTGCTAGGAAGGGTATTGCTTGATCTTCTTCTTGGCGTGTACACACACACGCACACACAAACCCACACACCCTATTTGGTTTTTATCTTGCCCCTCCACCAGCCTCTTAGGGCTTAGGATGGGGCAGCACATATCTTGTTTTCCTTACACTGTGTTGTTTGACTTGGGAGAACAGACGGCAAAAACCTGAGAGGCATCCAAGGCAGCGGTCAGGCCCGTCTGAGTCTAGTGAGCTGTGTAATTGCCAGCCTCACACCGCAGTGAGCCTGTCCAAGGGATGAAATAAGACTTGGGAGTCTGCCTGCCAATTTTAACCTGTCCTCCTGACCTCTAATTACGTCCCCGGCAGGCCCAGAGATAGGGTACCTTGTCCCCTTCCGTCCTGCAAGGCTGGGTTGATTTGGGGATTCTCTTTTCCCCTCCTCTTCCAGTTCTTTGTGAAAGAACCTCCCAAATCCCACAGATTTCTAACACCTTCCTTGAGTAGAAACCATCAGTATTCATGTTGTGCACTACTCCCCCCCACTCCTGGCTCCAAAGCAGTTGATACAAGAACTTAACAAATATTCATAAACCAAATATTTCAAGAAGAATAAAAATTCTTTGATTTTTTAAAAAAATATTTTTTATTTGAAAGGCACAATGACAGTGAGAGAGTGAGATCTTCCATTCACTGATTCACTCACCCCCCAAATGATCACAGTGCTTAGAGCTGGGCCAGGTTGAGGCCAGAACTCAACTTTGGGCTCCCACATGGGTGATAGGGACCACACATACTTGAGCCAGCATCTGCATTCTCCTAGGCTCGTTGATAGGAGCTGAATGGGAAGCAGAGCAGCCAGAATGCAAGCTAATGCTTCTGACACATGACACAGGCTGCTACTGTTGCAGATTAAGGTGTGTCTGCCTCACTTTGAGTTATTATAGTTTGACCTATTGGTACTGGTGCTGTGGTATTGGCATGTTACACCACTACCTGCAGTGCTGGCATCACATGGGGACCAGCTCAAGTCTGAGCTGCTCCACTTCCAATCCAGCTGCCTGCTTATGTGTCTTGCAGAGCAATGGAAGATGGCTCAGGTACTTGGTCCCCTTCATCCACGGGGGAGATCTGGATGATGCTCCTGTCTTCGATGAAGCCTAGCCCTGGCCATTGCAGTGAATTTAGCATTTAGCAAGTGAACCAGCAAATGGAAGCCTCTCGTTCTCTGTAATTCTGCTTTTCACATAAGTAAATAAATCTTAACAACAAATAAAATCTTGCTCTGTCCTTGAGGTTAACACCTTAGGAAGATTGGCACATGGCCATCTTCCCCCTTACCTGAACATTTTGCAAATTGGTGAGACAATGACAAGAATATAGAGCATTTCTTTGCATGTAATGCAACCTAAGTGTTTTGGGACACTCTACTTCTCTGAGCTTGAGTTTCTTCATCCATAATAGGATATTGCTCCTTTCATCAGCCCTATCTTGGGTTGAAATGTAACTTTCACGTAAGTGTGAGTAAAACAGTGATTTAGGTGGCAAAGTGCTTTGAGGACCCGGGGAAGCATTGTTAGTGTTGCTTTGTTATCTTCTCCTTCATTCTAGGGAGCCAGTTTCCAGGGACATTTCATCCAATCATCTGCCAACAGTGCTGGCTCAGTCCTGTTTTAAGTTAGGGTGTTGAGAGTGAACAGTGAGCATAGCCGTGAAGATGCCCATTTCCTGCATTGGAGGATATAGGTTTGATATCCAGTCCCAGCTCCTGACTAGCACCCAGCTAACGCAGAGCCTGGGAGGCAGCAGTAAAGGCCCCAGTGGTTGGGTTCCTACCACTCACACGTGGAAGACCTGGATTGCATTCCCTGCTTCTGGGCTCAAACCCAACCCAACCTTGTTCTTGACTGACATTTGAGGAGTGAACTAGCAGATGGGAGTGTGCATTTTCTCTTCTTTTCAAATAATTTTCTAAAAGATTAAAATAAAATAAAAGAGAGCATCATGGACTTTGAAAAGAGTGAATATTATGTACCTATCAGAATGGCTAAGATAAAAACATTTTGACAACACAGAATGCTCGTATAGTAAGACCATTTGGACATCACTGGTGGGAATGGAAAGTGACAGTCACCCTGGGAAATAACTCTCCATTTATTATCAAATCAAACATATAGTTCCTATGTGACCTGGCAGTTGAACTCTTATATATTTATCCCAGAGAAATAAAAACTCCAGTTCATACAAAATTTGACACAAGCCTTCCTAGCAGCCTTGTTCATAATAGCCAGACTGTTCTCAGCTATCTGTCCATGGGTGAGCCCATGAGCATCACTCTGTGGAATATTACCCTGCAATAAAAAAGAAGCAGCTACTGAGAGGAGTCACACAGGATGGCGACTCTCCAGGGAGCTGTACTGAGTGAGAAAAGATGCTGGGTTACTGTGTGAGTCCTTCTTTCCAAGGACAAAAGTTACAGAAACCGAGGAACCCATGATTGCTTGCCAGAGGTTAGGCAGGTGGATGGGGAGGTGGCAAAAGAAGGCAGAGATGAAGAGTGAAATAGGAGATGGGACTGTTGGGCATTGTGACTGTAATAATGGGTACAGGAAGCCTTTATGTCATAGAGCAAACCACACACACACACACACACACACACACACACACACACACACACGGGAGTATAAGTAAAACTGAGGAAGCCTGAACACAATGGGTGGATTACTCTCAGGATCAATATCCTAGCTGTGATAGTGCACTTATTTTTGTAAGAAATTTCCGTTGGGGGAGATGGGGGTAAAGGCACACAAAATCTCAGGGTATTCTTTCTTAGAATTGTGTGTTTACAGCTATCTCAAGATTAAAAGAAAAAAATGTTTAATGAAGTAAAATAGAGCAGTTTCAGGCCAAAGTGGTGAGAAGTCAGTGATTTGGGGAGTAACTGCTGCCAGAGCTTGCCCAAACTGGGAACTGCCTCTGTGGCATGGCTCTGACTCCTACTCAGTTGGCTCTGTTGCCTGCAGAGCAAGTGGAAGGCTGGGCATGTGGAGAGTGACTGGACTGGTGGCTTCTGTGACTCTTCTCTTCTTCCTGAAGTTTATGTGTCTCTGGACCACAGAAGCCTGAGATCTAAGTCAGAACAGAACAGAGTGGAAGAACTAGGTCAACATCAGAGCACTGCCGTGTCTGGTCCAGGCTGGGTTTGGATGCAGCCTTGGCTGCAACTGGTGGCATTTGAAATTCTGCTGAGTCCACTTGGGATGGGTATTACCCATTTGGGGCACCACCAACCGGCCTTCTGGACAGACATGGGGAGCCAGTGTGTTAGGGGACTGCTCCTCTGGTCCTCAGTTTGGTCCTGGCCACCAAAAGTCCCATGGTGAGCCGGCTCTGTTGGGGAAGGTGCTGGAACTGCAAACTCATGAGATGCGAGTGCTTGATGGCTTTCTCTTCTCTGAAGTTGTAGGACAGTCCCATCTGGATAGCAGCATTGAGGATCAAGAGATTGTCACCAATCCTCCAGACATCTGCCAAGTTGTGGAGGTGACCACTGAGAGTGATGAGCAGCCAATGAGCATGAGCGAGCTCTACCCTCTGCAGATCTCCCCCGTGTCCTCCTACGCAGGTACGTGGGCTCCAGGGAAATCTGGGGATGGAGCCCAGGGCAAGGAAACTCTCCTGCATCCTCCCTGACTCGTGGATTTCTGGCCATGTTTGCTCTTGGTAGAGACATGCTTGTAGCATTTCTTTCATTGATCACACTTATCAGTGCTGTACGTGACTTACCAACAGTAAGATTTCTTTGGAAAGTGGCCCTGCAGGCTGTCAGAAATGTGGCACAGTGTTTTGATGAACTCTCAGTTCAGTCTGGCTAGATAGGAGCTGCTCACTTGTTCTTGGAAGCAAAAGACTGTTCATTGGCACCCAAAAGGTTAGTGCCTGGACCAGGACTTGAACTCGACTTTCAGACCCCTGAGGTCATTGTCAGATCCACTTGGCTTCACCACATTGACTTGGCACTTTCATGTAGTCTCTGCTTTCTTTCAGCCTGTTACTGCATGAAGACTGCTCAGCATACCTCAGAGTCCCTGGGGGACTTGTAGGGCTGGCCCAGGCAGGATCACAGGATTCAGAACAGACTGGGTTGGTCCTTCCATCCTTACAGAGTTCAGAGAAGACATTTCTTTCTTTTTCCCATGTGCATGACATCCGCTTAAGCTTTTTCCTAATGATCTTAATTTAGCTTTAAAAAAATTATTTTTATTTGAATCAGATTTACACAGAGAGAGAAGGGAAGAAAAGAGAGAGACCTTCCATCTGCTGGTTCACTTCCCCAAATGGCCACAATGGCTAGAGCTGAGTTGATCTGAAGCCAGGAACCAGGAACTTCCTCCAGGTTTCCCACATCAGTGTAGGTTCCCAGGGACTTGAGCCATCCTCCACTGCTTTTCCAGACCATAAACATGGAGCTGGATGGGAAATGGAATAGCTGGGAGACGAGTTGGTGCCATAGAGGATGCCAGTACCACAGGATGAAGGATTAGCCTGGTGAGCCAAGGCGTCAGCCCCCTCTTTAAACTTTGGGGGCTCAACCATCATTAGGAACTACAAGTTCAGAACCAGTGTTTTGCTTAAAGATATTAAATGTAAAAAAGCAGAGGTCCTCTCCTGTGAACCTCCATCTAGACCTGGTTAAACGGCTCAGGGATTCTTGCCAGTGTTCTCCCACTGCCTCGCAGGCTGTCCAGGGGATGGTGGGTACCATCCCCTGTCCCTGAGTACTGAGTAGCCATGGATCTGTAGCTCACTGATACAGCCCAGGATTCTGAACCATCAGCCACATTAACCTCCTATCCCCTGAAGGCCAGTTTTCTTCTCAAGTTTTAAAGTTATGATCAAGATGCATATAGCATAGAATTTGCCATCTCAGTGTACAGTTCATTAGCATGAAGTACATATCTTCATACCTACCATTCATCTCTGATTTTTAAATCTTCTTTTACAAGATCAAACTTTGTTTGCATTAAACATGTACTCTCTTTTGTAGCCCAGCCCACAGTAAACACCAGGCTCCTTTTAGTTTCTGTGGCTGTGACTACTTAGGCACAACCGTGAATGGATTCGCACAGGACTGTTGGGACTGCCTTCCTTCACTGAGCATGAGTGCTGACTTGCTTTTGTTGGGGAAATGTGCAACAAACCTTGCCAACAGGAATCTTTGAATCCAGGAGGCTAGGCTTGTCACAGTGATTTATACGTTGACTTGCCTTGAACTCTGACATGTGGCAGTGTCTGATCTTTGCCAGTTCCTAATAACTGTAACTGTTCTTTGCTGCATGTTCCATGTGCTATGGGAACAAAGCTAAATGCTGGGATTGATGAGTTTGTTCAGTGATGATGAAAATAATCCTGGCAGTCTGGGCATCATCACAAGGAACAGTGGGCCCTAAGACTGATGTGGGAGAAGCAGTGTGTCCCAGGACAGAAACTGTAGCATGGGTGGAGATCAAGTGCAGCCAATGTTGAAGCCCAGTTGTTAACTCCCCATCCTCAGCTGCAGTGCCACTGCACTGGACAACTGCATGTGGCTTTGCCCTCTGAATGCATCCAGACCCTGCAGTCTTGGTTGCTTCTCACAAGGATCCTCCAGGGGAGGCAGAACAGAATGTTTATGTTTTACTGTTACAGTAAGCAGAACCAAAATGTGAAACACTAAGCTCCTGTGCTTCTCTGTATTTATATAGTGATGGCTGCAACTTGGACTTTTCTTCTGTGTCATGCTGCACTGGCATTGTAATACTCCATGTGATTATGTGTGTGTATGTGTGTGTGTTTTAAGCAGAGGTGGGAGCTTTACAATAGACTTTTATGTTTTGTCTGTTTTGAGTAAGACTTTTCTAAAGCCTTCTTGAGGATTTTGGAAAGACCCCTTCTTGCCTGTTCTACCAGTAGTGGCATTTTGCTTCGACAGAATGGTCCCGAGAACAGCTGGGCTGAGCAGATAGAAATGAACATTTCATTACCCTTTCCAGGACATTTGCATAGAGTTGAAAAGAAGAAGCTCCCTCAGTGCCAGGAGGGCAGACAGTGGGAGGTTTTGCTAGAGCCTGGCTTTTCAAGCCAGGTCTTTGGTTCTGTCAATTGTTTTCATTGCCTGAATTTTCCAGAACCTCTTGAAGGTGTGTCTGTTACTGGTCATGGCTACCATTAAGTCTTTTAGTCTACAGTTTTATAGCATTCTGCTAGGAGAGGCCACAGTCACCTTTCTTGCTGTATGTTTGCTGATGGGATAGGCTGCTTGCCTGATTTTTGTGAATGCATCCCTTTGTTCAAGCGACCACCTTCTTTTCCTTGTTTTGCACACTACTGTTTAGGGACTATTTGTTATTTCCTTTTTTCAGACACAGAGAGATAAGATAAAGACAAAGAGTTCTCATTCCTGGGTAGCTTCCCAAATGCCCACACCATCCACGACTGGGCTGAGGCTAAAGCCAGGAGCTAGGGAAGAAACCCAGGTCTCCCTTAGGGATGACAAGAACCTGGTTACTTGAGCCATCATTGCTGCCAGAGTCTGCGTGGGTAGAAAGTTGAAGTCAGGGGCTGGAGTCAGGAATCAAACCCAGAAACTCCATTGTGGAGCACAGGCATCCTAAATGGCATCTTAACAAAGCTAAATGCCTGCTCTGATTGACCAATGGTGTGATTGACTGATAGATTTTACACATCCAGAGAGAGAAAGCACTCCTATTCACTGTTTCACTTCCAAATGCCTCACCTACTGGGACTGGAGTGGGAACAAAGCCAGGAGCCCGGGTCTCAGAATGTAAATCTCCCATGTGGATGGCAGGAACCCAATGATGTGAGCCATTACTACTGCCTCCCAGGATCTGCATTAGTAGGCAATTAGAGTGAGGAACTAGCGCTCAGATATCCCAGGTCCCTCATTGCCTCCTCCTCCCCACATTTGCTATTTCTGATCATTGAAATATAGCCTCATACATCTATTTTCTTCTATTGTCTAAAAACTGCAATGAGAGAGTTCCTTTGAGTAGAAGTACATGTATGTTGTGCTTTAAGGCAACATTGAGATTCTGATGGGATTTCTGACACTTTCATCCAAGACCACCCTTGGGAAACTCCAGATTCTAGTTATCTTCCTTTTCTAAGGCCCCTTTCCTGATCAGTGGCATCAGCATTTGTGTGTGTGTGTGTGTATGTGTGTGTTACTGATGGGTTAGTGAAAGAAAGTCCCAAGGGTGTATGAGGAGAGGAAAGGTTTGAAGTGTCAATACACTTAGGAAGGAAGCACAATTCAAAGGGTTAACTGATTGCAGCAGAGAGAAAGGGGTTTGCCTGTTGACACACCAGAAGCTGTAAAGACTTTAAGTCCTCTTGGAAACCACATCAGCTCTCTTTGGTTGAGTTGGTAAAGGGCACAACATTTTGAGATGAAGAAGACTGTTTTGAGCTGTTAAGCTGTCTTCCAATGAAAGTAGTTGAGGAAACCATCAGTGGAAACAAATCCCTGTCAGTCTGTTAATGCATAAAGTGTGTTGAATAAGAGCATTTCAGAAGAGGGCCAAAGGGCTTGCAGTTAAAACCTACTGCCTTGCATTCCTATAGGACTCCTGAAATGGTTGGTCAGTACATGTTCTCAGGGAGGTCTTTACAGCTGGGCTGAAATGGGGCCTAGGCCCAAGACTAAGATCATCCTGCATTGGCATCACTGGAAGAAGCTCTGGGTGCTTGTCCCCAGTCATCATTGTCTTCAGGGGAGTATACACCAGGGAGGATAAGGGAGTTGCTTGTGCATCTGTCATTGCTTGTTGCTCTGTAAGCTAGCGAAGCATTTCCCAATGTCTATCTCATCATATTCCAAGTAAGTAAAGAAGCAGGTCCAACTGAAATCAGGAGAAAACTTGAAGCCACCACTCATGCTGACATTTCAGCAATAGTGTTGACTTGGAAGCAGCAGCTGCGATACACTCATTTGTCTTCTTGGAAATGGTGATGGAAAAGCAAGAGAGAGCAGAAGCAGCAGGGTGTGAGGACGCTCAGCGCAACACAGCACTTGGGCCCAGCAATCCAGGGCACTTGTGAGAATCACTGTGACCTAGAGAGGCAGGTCTTGGGGGAGGAAGAACTCTCTTGCTCCTGGGCTGCGTGGCTCAAGGCCTTTGTTCTTCAACAATAAAATTAGACACCTCATTTCACCAGTGCACTGAATTTTCATAACTGCTTCAAAAACAGTTGATTCAAGACATAGAGAGAGAAGAGCTCTTTCTTCTGTGGGTTCACTCCCCATCTGAGTTTCCCACATGTGTGCTATGGGCCCAACCACTTGGGCCATCCTTTGCTTCTTCCCCAGACTCATTAGCAAGGAAATGGGTCGAAGTGGAGCAGCCAGGACAGGAACTGGCACCACATGGAATGTCATGGCAAGCACCAACTTTACCTGCTATGCCAAAATGCTGGTCCCAGGTTCAAGTACCTTGATCCTGCTACCCATATGTTACACTTGTATTGAGTTTCTGGCTCTGGTCATAGCCCAGTCCCAGCTATCTTAAATGTTTGGGCTGCCAACTAGCAAGTAAAAACTCTCACTTAAAGGAAATCATGCTCTTTAACTAGCATTTGTGTCAGCTGCGAACCTAAGTTCAAAACATGTGTATCCTTGTTTTCAAAAGATTTATTCGGGGCCCGATGGCGTGGCCTAGTGGCTAAAGTCCTTGTCTTGAACGTGCCAGGATCCCATATGGGCACCAGTTCTAATATCAGCAGCTCCACTTCCCATCCAGCTCCCTGCTTGTGGCCTGGGAAAACAGTTGAGGACAACCCAAAGCCTTGGGACTCTGCACCTATGTGGGAGACCTGGAAGAAGTTTCTGGCTCCTGGCTTCAGATTGGCATAGCACCAGCCATTGCGCTCATTTGAGGAGTGAATCATCGGATGGAAGATCTTCTTCTCTGTCTCTCCTCCTCTCTGTATATCTGACTTTCCAATAAAAATTAAATTTAAAAAGATTTATTTGATCTATTTGAAAGGCAGAGTGACAGAGTTGGGAGAAAGATAGCTCTCATCTACTAGTTCATTCCTCAAATGGCCTCAAGGGCCAGGGCTGGGCCAGGCAAAAATAGGAGCCAGGATCTCCCACATATGTGGAAAGGATCCAAGTACTTGGGCCATCTTCAGCTGCCTTACCATACATATTAGCAGTGAGCTAGATCAGAAGTAGAGCATCTAGGAGTAGAACCAGCACTCTGCTATGACTTGCTGGGGATAGCAAGTGGCAGCTTGGCATGCTCTACCATAGTGCTTGCCCCGTCTTTGTTCATCTGCAGTTATCTCTCTGAAGCTGAAAAACAGGTTCTTAAAAAGAACTTAACATTCTGATCACATCCAGGCTCAGCCCTACACTGCCTGGCAGCCCCGTTAGCTGCTATGACTTGGATGAGGGCAGAAGCCCGGAACTGAAGTTACCACTCATCTTCATCCTCTTCCATCCCCAAATGTGCCTGGCAATACTTACTTTTGTTTTCGGAGAAAAGGAACAGAAAAGAAGCTTCTGTTAGCTTCTTTGGCCTCAGAGCACAAAGAAATGCATGTAAACACATGGCAAGAGGATTTTGAACTTCAGCCAGAGGCCTGAGCAGCAGGACCCAGGGCAGCTGGGCTGGGTGGCCACACTTGCCAGGCCTTGGGCTCGGGGTGCAGTCCTGTTTGCCCTTTGCTGTGCTGACTTTGGCAAGTTTCTCAACATCACAGTTCCTCATTTTTCTCCTTGGGAATAGCTGTCCAGATCCCTGCCTCTCAGGGCTCTGAGCTGACTGGTGGGAATGTTTCTTTGCTGCTGTTCTCCATTTGTTTCTGTGCTTGATGTTGTTGGTCTACCTGTCCTCACAGCCACAGGGATACTGCCTGGGGCAGCTGTACTCTTGCCTGGGCACCAGTGGCTCCCACTTGGGGACACCCTGGGGAGAATGTACTCAGGCCATAAACAACAGATATCTGACCTCCAACTACCCCTAGGCTACCATTCATCCATAGCTGCATGAAGTCACTGAGTTCCATGGCCAGGAAAAACAAAGAAAGGCTCCAGAGGCGGAGCAGTGAAGTCCACGTTCTTTCCATTTTTAAAATGAGTTATCTGAGAGACAGAGACTACCTCCCACCTACTGGCTTACTCCTGTAATACCATCCAGGTCCAAGCGTGGGTGGCGAGGTCCTGGATGGTGAAAGGGGCTCTGCCTGGGCCATGCTCTTCTTGTCCTAGTGATGCCACAGGAAGATGGGAGCTAGAAAGAAACAAGGGGTGGGGGGCTCCCTCTTAGCAGGGACAAGATGGCAGAGGATGGAGGGTGCCTATGTACAGTGGGTATGTGGGGGTTGGGGATCCTGGTGTGTAATGAGCAGACCCCATCGCTAAAGGCCCTGGTGGCTGTACAGTGGCCCATAGCACTCCAGCAGTGTTCATTGTAAGATGCTTTTTTGGTCTCATCTGTATCCCACATCGCCCAACCCAGGAGATTCCTGAGGACCTATGTTTGAAAAGCTCTGCCCTCTCTTGATTTTACATCTCAGCCACTTTGAACATTGAAACACTCACTTTATGCCAACTTTTTAAAAAAAATTTCATCTTAAGAACATAAAATCACTTTTGTTACAAACTTCCATTCCCTAAACAGAGGCTGTGGAATCTCTAGCTCCCAGGTCTTCCCCTGGGAATCCAGGCTGGTGGCCACAGTGCACAGCCCTGAGTTATAGGCCCCTCTCCTGCCGGTGAGGCCTTTCCCCATACTTTCGTCTCTAGATGGTGGTGATAGCCCCACCTTACAGGTGAGAGAGCTGGGGTCGAGGGGCTGAGTCAGAGCTAGCTGAAGAGTGATCTGTGGCTGCATGCTGGGCATATACCCCATATGCCCAGCAGCCTGACGGAACACACCATTTTGGAAGGGTTTCTCTGCGTCACTATCCCAGGGTAGCTTCCATGACAATGCAGTCCAGGGATTACCCAAAATTACCCACTCCATCTGTGGCTCAGTCCAGTAAAGGGTCATGGCCAAATGCCCCTTTCTTGGGCTGAAATGGGTTCCCTGCAGGCAACTGAACTGAGGGCTTTGGTTGCTTGCTGACAGTTGGCTGGCATCAAGCGGTCCTCTCTTCTTGGCCATGTGAACCTTTTCAGAATGGCCTCTTATCTCCCATCGTCTAGGTCCGGCCCACTCTCAGGTACACGGGGAGCCTCCCCCTGCCATAAGACAGCTGGCACCAGAGTTGCAGATATCAAGGACCAGTTGGGAATCAGTCCACTCACAGCAACTCAAATGCAAGATCCAACTGGAAGAATCCAAGCAAAAAGCTACTGTCAGGGCCATGTGGTGGAGCTGGGGTCTGGCTGGTTAGGGATGTGTGAGGAAAACCAATCAGAAAATGCTGACTCCCAGGCGAGGTTTAGTGAAATGGTGGACAGGCTTGGGAGGAGGGTGCCAGCACTGGGCATCACAGATGGAAATCCAGGGAACCAACGCCAACTCGTGGGGAGTGGTGGCTCCTGCAAAGGCAGCTTGCTTGCCCTCCCTTCTAGCCCCATCCAGGCTACTCTGACACTCACTTTGCCAGAAGGCCAAATAGAGAACAAGACATGGCCACCCCAGGGGACAAGTGATCCAAGGACAGGGTGGGGTTCCTTTAGCTGCTTTCTCCTCTTTGAAAAGAAATGCTTGGACTCAGTGAGAGCAGAGGGGAATGACACTGTGTTTGTCTCTGGACAGAAAGCGAAACCACCGACAGCGTGCCCAGTGATGAAGAGAGCGGTGAGGTGAGCCCCCATCCCTGACCCCTTTTGCATGTGGGTTTCTGGCGTGGGACAATACACAAGTCCTCAATTCCTCTCTCCTTTGGACTGTTGCGTTGTAAAGCTCAAGGGTAGAGACGGCAAAGAGAAACAAGGCAGTGACATGTTGGCAAAGGTTGATGTGCTGGCGGCACTGTTGACATCCCATTCTGCAGAGACATGGCCGACAGTGCTGGCCAGAGCTGAGCTGGGGCAACTCATGGTGCCACTCTCTAGCATCCCTGCCTGGAGGCTGCTAAGGCGCCTAGGCTCCAGGCCGAGGTGACCTCCCACAATGGCAGGAAGTGGTTGTGGTGGATGGTCGCTGCTAGCTTGCCTTGCCATGGGTGGTTGGGTGCCTGAATGAAGGAGAGAGATAACAAGGGAGAAAGGGTAGAAGAGAGAAGATAGGGGGAAGGGGGCAAGAGAGAGGAGAGGAGTTCAAGCCAGGGAAGCCAGTGCCTGCCTGTTGAAGTCAGAGATTTCTCAGTTCAGGTCAAGTGCAGAAAGTCTCAGCAAACCTGAGCAGTTGGTGATCATGTGTACCCCATCCTTACCTCTTCAAAGCCACAGTTCTAGCTGCTTTTCTGAAGGAAGCTGTCCTTGAGGCCAGCTGCCTGGGTGGGACACACAGAGACCTGAGCTCCAGTAGCCAAGTGGCCCACTTTGCTGCCTCTTACAAATATAAATTGACTCAAAGATCTGATGGAGTTAGCAGTGAGAAACCATGCCTCCTGGATACACTCTGGGCTTAGGAGAAGTCTTTAGAAAGTTTGTGGAAAATATGTATTATGAGAGAATGATGCATGGAATTTTTCATACTAAAATAAACTTACCTTTTAATTTCATTTTCCCCACAAACTTTTGGAAGTACCCCTGTGTTTCTTGGAGGTGGCAAATGGAAAGTGATGCAAAATGGAAAGAGAAGCTTCATTGCTCTGGATAGGAGTAGCTGGGTACAGATCTCAGTGGGGGGACAGAGAATTGCCAAGCCTCTGCTTGCAACTATTAAAATACTCTGTGGGAACACACACACGTGAGAACAGCAAAGTAAAAAGACATGGAGTCTGATCCCCCTCCCGCCCCCACTTTTTTTTTTTGCCAGGGGCGGCTGCACTGGCGGAAGAGGAACATTGAAGGCAAACAATACCTCAGCAACATGGGGAGCCGAAGCACCTACCTGCTGCCCAGCATGGCAACCTTCGTCACTTCTAACAAGCCGGACCTGCAGGTCACCATCAAGGAGGAGAGCTGTCCCATGCCTTACAACAGCTCCTGGCCCTCGTTTCCAGAACTGCCTCTGGGCCCCTCCGTGACACCCACCCCAGGCAGCAGCCGGGAGACCAGGGCCAGCGTCATCAAGAAGACGTCTGACGTGACCCAGGCCCGTGTCAAGAGCTGTTAAGCCTCCGACTCTGCCCGGTGGTTGTTGGAAGTTCTTGGCTTTGTTGTGTTGTTTGTTTGTCTTTCATTCTCCTGTCTTGACACCCGTTTTAGACAAATCTAAGGAAAACGCCTTGACAATAGAACATTGATTGCTGTGTCCAACTCCAGTACTGGAGCTTCGTTTTAACTCAGGACTCCAGCCCCTTGGTAGACGCGTGTCTCTAGAGCCTGCTGGATTCCCCTGCCCCACCCTGCCCTGCCCCCTTCCAGGGCTCCTCCCTCAAGTTCAAGGACCAACACACCCACATGGGCAGTGGAGGTGCTGCATGGCCTGCAGTCAAGGCCAGCATGGTGGAGTGGATGCCTCAGAATGGACGAGAAAATGTGAACTAGCTGGAATTTTTTTTATTCTTGTGAATATGTACATAGGGCAGCACTAGCGACATTGCAGTCTGCTTCTGCACCTTATCTTAAAGCACTTACAATAGGCCTTCTCCTGAGCTTGCTCTGTTTCACAGCACATCCAACACCCCCTTTTCTGCCCCTGTCCCCATTGTCCTCCCTTGCACCCGGTCCTCAGGTTCCTTTGTTTCTCCTCCTCCTTGCAGAGGCTGTGTTCCACCTGTTTGAGGAGGAGGAGAAGCAGAAAATGAACCTCTTCGCAGATGTCCCATTTTAAGACTGCTTAAAAAAAAAAAGACAACAACAAAAAGATCATTCTAATCTGCTATGCTTGAATGCCACGCGGTACAAAGGAAAACTATCATGGAAATATTATGCAAATTCCCAGATCCGAAGACGGAAATATTCTAATTCTAACCAGAGCAAGCTTTTTTATTTTTTATACAGGGGAATATTTTATTCAAGGTAAAATTCTAAATAAAAATATAATTGTTTTTTATCTTTTCTACAGCAAATTTATAATTTTAAGATTCCTTTTCTTGTTTATCAGCAGTTGTATTACATCCTTGTGGCACATTTTTTTTAATTTTGTAAAGGTGAGAAAAAAGCTTTTATGAGCTCATGTAGCAATCAAATTATCCTGTGGATTGATAATAAATGAATATGATAAATAATTAACATTTTTTAATGGGTATCACTCCTGGCTCCTGTCTGTCTGCATTCTAGAACACAGTCATGGGGGAGGGTTGACTGGGGTGTTCCCTTTTGGGGACTAACACGCTTCCCTGCTGACCACATGAGACACTAAGAGTTCCTACTGCAAGGCCACAAGTGACTTTGTCTGCTGTGTATTCACACTGCGCCAGCCCTGGGCTGGAGACTGTATGTGCATTTCCTGTCTTGCTTACCATGGATGTCCTGCGGCCTGGAGAGCAACTTCAGAAGGTTCCCAGATTGGGAGTCAAGGGCACAGGGTAAACCCGGGTCAGGAGATGGCTGAGTTTTTCTACCTCCTCCACTGTTATCGCTCATGAGCAAACCTTGCCCACCTCTGTCTGCTTCCTGCTCTCACCCTGAGGACCATGCATCAGGTGGGCTTCTGTGTTGACGTCACATTCATGGTGCATGATTAAGGTGGTCAGCAGTGGGAAAGGTGAGTGAGGTTCTGACTGTGTCTGTTGCTCTTGGGCTTTTGGCATGAGGCCCGCATTCAAAATGTGGTCTGTACCTTTGGAGTTTCTAGAGCACCCGACTCCGTCACCTGCTTTGTCCTTCAAGGAGTAGACTTGTTCTTGAGAATGCCACCATGCTTGCCTCTTGTGCCCCCAATGTCTGTAAAGTCAGAATGTTCATACCCTACCCTCAGCTGCCTACCTGTCACCTCTGGGCATAGTGGAGGGAGGATTGCTGAGTTAATGTTTGAAAAGGTTCCTTTGATGAAAGGACAAAGGGCAGTTTTCATGCCTGTCTCCTTGTGTGGCTGCTGATAGAAGCAGTGGTCATAAAGTTATGCGGCTCTGAACAGAAACTAACCGAAGCATTCTTGTTGATGAGTGGTAGTGGCTTATGGAGGCACCGGTGTTGATGGGATTTTATGTCTCATTAAAAGGAATTGAGGGTGGAAAAACACTCTGCTGGGCCCCCTAGCTCTGTGCTTTTCAGGGGATACCTACTCTTCTGGCTGATCCCAAATAGATGAGTTCATTTCTTTGTGATTTATATCTAAATCCTTTTACATAGCCATCCTGGTTTATTTTCTTTATTTGAAAGGGGAATAGAGATGTAGAAAGGGGGGAGCTCCCATCCTCTTGCTCACAACACAAATGCCTGCTTGGCTAAGACTGGGCCAGAGCCAGAAGCTGGGAACACAATCCAGACCTCCCACAGGGGTGGCAGGAACTCAATTACTAGAGCCATTACCACTGTCTCCCTCAGTCTGCATTGGCGGGACCCAGAGCTGGGTGTTGAGCCATGGCATGTTGATGAGAATGTTTTAACTGATATCTTAACTACCAGGCTAACCATCTGCCCCAATCATCCTGTTTTAAAAGATTTATTTATTTGAAAGGTTGACATCTTCCATTCCTGCATCATTCTACCAAATGACCACACAGTCTAGTGTAGGACAGGCTGAGGCCAGAAGACAGAACCCCAACCTAGTCTCTCGTATGGGTGGCTGAAGCTCGAGTACTTGGGCCATCTTCCACTGTTTTCCCAGGCACACTGGACAGAGGCTGAAAGTATAGCAGCTGGGTCTTGAATCTGCGCTCTGAAATGGGATATGGGTATAGGAAGCAATGGTTCAAATTACTGTGCCACAACACAGACCCCATCTGGCTTTTAAATAAATGAAACTGTGACAGACATTGACCTTGAGTCCTGTGGCCAAGTTATGAAAAGGTTTAGGGGACCTGCACCTTCTTCCCTCTCCCAAACATAGCGTAACAGAATTAGAAGCAGAGTAGCCAGATTCAAATTAGCACTCATATGGGATGCTGACATTGCAGGTAGCAATTTAACCCATAATACCACAACTCTGGCTCCCCAAATCTGTCTTATTTCTAAATGATCCTTTCCAGCAGTGTAGAATAATAAGCCAGTTACACAATGCTCAGAGCTGACATGAGCAAGAAAAACAAACCAGATGGAAGCTCTCTTGGACTTGAGACCCAGACCTTTCTGTTTTCCCCTGCAGGAAGTACTGGGAGGCGGGGACTTCATTTGCTTGGCATCTGTGTGAGCTGATAGGCTTTTACGATGGGCTTGGCTGTGAGTGTGTGTGTTTAAGGAGCAAGTTCAATGTCACTGCCTTTGGAACAATAGTTTTTATTTTCCCTGGTCTCTCCCTTCATAACGATTGTACAGCTGTGACCTCTGACACCAGTGACAGGTGCCTCTCCCCAGCTGAGAGAACCCAGCACATTCAACCCACTTTCCAGAGCACCACATGCAAGTCTAAACAAATCTGTGTTCAACTGTAGCATTTTTTCCATGTTTAGATGAAGTAACTGCCAAAGGTGGTGCTTGGTCTATTTAAATGTAATTATAGAGAAGAATAAATATACATGGATAAGACATACAACTTTTCTCAATAGCAAAGCCCTAAAATATCCTTTCTGTTTCACCAAAAGCAAAGTGCATTTTTCTGTCACCTCCCCATCCCCTCCTCCCCCATCTTGTGATAGAAATACTAAGAATGAGGAAGAGTAGTGATTTAGTTTCAGGATTCTGAGTTTTGAGACTGGTGTTTTGGGAAGTAATTCTGCATGTGAATGGAAAAACTGTTAAGCCCTCAGTTGGAGAGGGAACATTAAACCTTCCATCTGCTGCAGACCCATTCTTTGCATGTTGAATTTATTAGGCTTTAAAGGGCCCCCTGTTATATTAGCTTTGGGCAAATATACCCAGATAAAAGGTGAAAGCAAGAACCCCACATTTCTACTGAATCTTAACCAAAGAAAGACAAAAAGCTTAGGAAAGGCTTGCAAACAGCTAGGCTGAGTGGGCCCCTGGCAAATGTGGGTGTTGGATGTCCAATGCCTCAGTAGATAGCACTCTGAGTTTGGAAAGAGAATACAAGCAGAAACTGGTTCTTTCCTGGTGGTGTTTGGTCATCTGTCTCAAGAAATTAGAACCATGGGATTGAAGCTGACTTGCTGTGGTACCCGGATACATCTCATGCTTGGCTTGCAGACTGCAGCAGACCCTTGCCCGATTCATGTCACAGCAGGTATTTGTCTGATTTCAGGGCTTTGTAAACTCATTTTAAAAATAATTTATTTGAAAGATGGACAAAGTCAGGTCTCCTATCTCTGCTGGCTCACTTCTCACATGTCTGTAACAATCAGAACTGGGCCAGGCTCAAACCAGGAGCCCAAAGGTCCACCTGTGTCTCCCTGCTGAGTTCCGGGGGCCCAAGTACTGCTGCCTCCAAGGATATACATTAACTGGCCTGGGGAGCTGAGCTGGAACTGATACCCAGGCACTCTGATATGGGATGCCTGCTTCCCTTGTGGCATGAATGTCCAATGAGCCATAAACTTGCCACCCTTGTAAACCTCTTGAAGTCACGTCTCAGTCACATTTACACTCCTACATGTGCTTTGATGGGCAGGATTGCCTTCTCCCCTGTTCCCACCATTGTCAAGGGAACAGGGGTGGGACTCCTGGTTATGCCTCCTGAGGCATGTAAGCAGCATCAAGCCTGGAGCTAAGTGGTGAGCAGGGGTTGGGAGATGAAGGAAAGGCTAGTGGAGGTGTTGCCTCTTGGGGCTGCCTGAGGCCTCCACTGGCACCCTTTAGGCACTGGAAACACTCCCAGCTTGGGCTCAGGTATCACAGCCTTGCTGTGCAGACGTTTTCTTCTGGAACCATGTTAACAACAGGTGCAGAGGCGCTGTGTCTCTACTTCTGAAAATAGCGCCTGGAAGGAAGGAAGCGGTCAGGCCTAATAGTCGGCCTTAGCAAAAAAAAAAAAAAAAGTGTGAAGTCTGTCCAAGAACCTAGCTCTTGCTGTGGAAGGATCCAAGAGCAGGACATTTCTGAGTTCACAAAATTTGTTAAGAGTGTGTTGTGGAGTTCTTTGAGTCAGTTTCTTAGGTCAAGCAGCCTGTGGTATTCCATTCCTTTCAGTAAACTGCCCTTCGGAGGCTTGTTCAGTTTTTCCATATTTGCTTTATAAACATATTCTGATGGATGTTGCAGGTTCCACTGAGTGAATTATGCAGGGGTTGTGCAACTGTCACTTGGTTAACCCCTTACACTCACCCAACTGGAGGAACACATGTCACTTGCAACAGCCTGTGTGCAAAGACATATGCTTTTAGTAACACGACTATTGTCACAGTTGCAAAAAAAAAAAATTCCAGAGAGAGAGCATCTCTTTAAGATTCCATTTTGATTGAGAAGAACATCTGAAAACACCCAAACTGTCATTCACATGAATTATCAATGAAAGAGGATGCTCAACACATTCCCTGTGCCAAGTACATGGTTTGGTTATCCAAGGATGCCCTTATATTACATATTTTGTAAGCCACGGGTTCGAAGCCATTGGCACTGCAGACTACAAGTTGCAGACTCACTGCCTGAATTTCAGGTTAATGTTAGTAGCTAGATGGGGGTCAGTGTCTTAGTGTGAGTGATAACTCAGCATCTATTCATTACTGCAATTAACACTGATAAATACTTTCTACTGAGTTCACCACTCTTTCTCCCAACAAGACTTCTCTAATGCTGTGGTTCTAGGCACATTTTTATGGCTGCAGTTTCTTTTCTCCGGGAATCTCGTGTGTTGTGTTTTTAACACAATGATATCCAGAAGCCATTGCACAGGCTCAGCATTCAGGATACTGACACATAGGAATTTTAATAAATACACACACACACACACACACACACACACACATATACTAACCAGTCATTGCTCAAAATTTATTTTATTTTACTATTTTTTATTGGAAAGGCAGATTTACAGACAGAAACAGAGAGAAAGATCTTCCATCTGCTGGTTCATTTCTGAAATGCCTGCAATGGCTGGAGCTGAGCCAATCCGAAGCCAGGAGCTATTTGCTTCTTCTGGGTCTCCTTTGCGGGTGTACAGGCCCAAGGCTTTAGGCCATTCTCCAAAGCTTTCCCAGGACTCAAGCAAGGAGCTAGATAGGGAGTGCAGTAG